CTGTCCATCTGTCCATCCATCCAGACATCTATCCTCCTGTCCATCTGTCCATCCATCCAGTCACCCACCCTGCTATCAACCCAGACAGTCATCCATCCTGCTGTCCATCCATTCATTCAGTCATCCATCCTACTGTCCATCTATCCATCCATTCACTCATCCATCCATCCATCCAGTCACCCATCCCGCTATCAATCCATCCATACTTCTGTCCGTCGATCCCTCTTACCGTACATTCCATCGGCCCACCAAAACCATCGGTCCCTTGAGACCATCAACGTATGGATCAAGTCCACATCCATCCGTCAGTTCATCAATCCAGCCGTCAATCATCCATCCGTCCATCAATCGATTCCATCTATCCTTTTATGTATCAACCCATCGATCCGGTCAACACATCATACTCCATCTATATATCCGTCCATCGTCATATCCTCTATTCTTCTAGCCCTAAGTCCATACATCCGTCGACTAGTCCATCGTGCTTTATATACTATGTCCCTATATTGTGTCTATAGTATATACAGCACTCCCGAATACCTCGATTCACGCGACCAAACACTTATTCGGTAACGAGTGAGGCTCCCCCTCTATCCAACTATATTACTGGCACGGTTCTCTGGGCACGGTTCTTACGCAACGAACCTTAGCCAAGAGCCACCGCGGTCACGCGGTATCATCAAATCCCCCAACTTGGGACGTTACAGTCCCCAGCGGCGGCGGCGGCGAACGGATCGTGGGAAGGCCGAACGGGTTTCCTAGGACTTCAATCGCGTTCTGCATGGCCGGAATAGCGGCGCTGCGTATGGGTGGTATCGTACTGGGTTGGCCGGTGGTAGAGCGCTGCAGGTGGTATTGCTGGGCTCCTCCTCCTCCTCCTCCTCCAGCAGGGGACCACCCTTGCAGCATTCCCGTCAGGGCGGTGGGTGTACTACTACTGCCGGTGGCAGCAGCAGCATCCGCATGTGGGTTTTCGAGTAGATCGTAGATTCCGCTCTTCGGGCGACCGCTGGATTCGTTACTGGCGAGTCGCTGAAGATCCTGGTGCAGCGGCCGGACGATCTGAAGCAGCGAATTCGCCACACGATCGACGACGCTGCAGCCGGCGAGCATATTGATACATTCCTGCGACTGTGCGAGGAAGATTTGGACCTTGTCTCTCTGGTCGTACAAGAGTCGCTGAGCCGCCGCAAACAGGAGGACACTGCAGGCGCTAAAGGCGTGCCCACTGGCAACAAGTGAAGAAAGTATTAGCGTTCTTTGTGTTCCTGCAGGGACTCAGAATCGCCGATTGGGGGCTAGGAAAAAACTTACACACAGAGCCAACTTCTGCGAGATTTGCGTTTGGTGAATCCCAGAGCATCAAGCAGACGGACACACAGCTCGGCGGCCTCGACACACTCCCTCTGAATGCTCTCGCCCTGCGTGGGCGTTCCATCCAGCGTCCACCGCCTATTCATTCGACAATTTGCCATTTCCACCAATAGTCGTCTCAGGAGCATCATTTTGGCTCCCAGGAACATCACATGTACGAGAACAAAGGCCGGTCGCTGTGGCTCGCGGAATTGGTTCTCGTGGGCGTGAACTAGCGCGTCCAGCCTCATAAAGTCGGGTAGTTTTTCCTCCCACTCACCTAGTATCCGCAAATGCTTCTCGACAACGGAGAAGACTGCCGAGGTCGACTTGTTGTGGACGTCGAGCAGAATCCCCGCCGTCATCAGACCGACAGTGCAGATTTCGGCTTGGATGCGGTACTCGGTCGTGGGTTGGGCTTCGATAATCTCTTGTCTCGTAAACTGCGGCACTTCCTTTAGTCTGGGTAGGTATTGTCTCACCAACGTCTCACTCACCTCCGCCTCGTCGTTAATGAGGTCTGGCTGATATCCGAGGCTTGAAGCAAGCCAGCTATACAGGGGTCAACATCCGGGTACATAGAGTCACTGAAGCATGCTATACTCACCATTCCATAAAGACAAGCGACCGGTAGACTTTTCGGTACGCGACCAAAGGCAAGATATCTTGCTGCTGCAGGCGCGCCCACCGAGCCAGTCTCAATCCGGAAGCTACGACCGATATCAGCTGTTCTGTTCGAAAATCTCGAAATTTCCCCCCGAATTGAGGCCCATACCGATCGATAGACGAGCGCTCGCTCGCCTTGTCAAAGAACAAATAATGCCGAGACACAGAATAACTCTCATGCCTCGTAGAAACTGTGACTCGATACAGTCACTCATATAAATCGTGGCGGTCTGGAATAAGGCTTCCATGGCCGCTGCGTCAAACTTATCACCATCATAATGGCTTCCGACCGCGGCAAGGGCGCAGAGTTCGCACAGAGTCGCGTTGTCGACAGCTTCGTGGGTTCGGTAGACCCTGCTAAAGATGTCGTCCATCTCGTGTTTTTCGTAGATATATAAAAGTGCATACGTGCAGTTAAAGTATGCTCTGATGCCGTCCTGTATCAACTGTTCCGGTGGTAGGTCGTTGATCGTAAAGACCCGTGCAACCTGGTCAGAAATTAGCACGCCAGGCCTGAGTCAGCATTCCAGCCCCAACGACGGCCTTGAGCACGCAGCCTGCGCTCCAGCACCAAGGTCGGTCGAAAGCAGCCGTGTCCTACAGGCCTTTTGGAGGAGGTAGATGCCCACTTACCGGAGTGTTGAAATCGGCGTCCCTCTCCCGAGAGTGTGTCCATTCCGCCAACCCCTCGCTGCCTGGAGATTGAGATTGGTTGGTCCTCATCCTCCTCAGCAAGTCGTACGCATCCTCCTCGGGCCCCTGCGTCAGAGCGTTGATAATCTGCTCGAATCTCCGGACTCTGTCCTGTAAAGCATCCGTCTCGTTGGCCCTCAGCTTGCCTCTCCGGCGATCGACATCGGAGTAGACACACAGGGTCCCTCGCCCCACGCAAGCTGAGCAGGTGGGATGGGCGTTGTCACACTTTGAAGGGGGTCAATCGTTCTCTCTTTTTCTCTTTCGGGATCATTGGGGTCGGTCAAACCTTGGATCGCTTGGCACGACAGGGTTGACAAGCCTGGGTGACATATTTCCTGGCCTCGAGCGACATTGTGTCCCCGGAGCCCGAAGGCTGGGCGACTGAGGGCTGCGAGGACGTGGATGCTTCGGAGACATTGGACGGGGACAGGCCGGTTCTCTGGGACATGGTGGAAAACGTATAGTATATCCAAAGGTTGCCTGGAACGACGCGAAGCCGAGACTTCGGAGGAGGGGCGACGGGATAGAAGAAGTCTTAACTTCAAGTTGGACCTGAACCGAAAAGGGACGTGGCACCACCAACCCTCGAGGAACTGGGAAATACAAGGCCTGTTTCACACTTGTGGTCAAGGTTTGTGGCCCGTACCCATTCCGCAAGAGAAGCAGTCCATCCCTGTCCGCTCCAGGTCCACTGGCCTCAACGTCCCGAAGAAGGGAACCTTGGGAACCTTCTCGCCTGTGCCCAAGTGTAAATTTTGATTTGCCTACCCGGTCAGCTGGGACGCCGGCCTGGCAGATAGGGCGGCCACAAGGTGGATATATGTGGAGGGGTCGTCGCGGAGCGGGGATGGCCGCCCCTTGTCGTCGCTTATAGCGATCTAACTTTGCTAGCCAAGTCGGGAGGCCAATGATACCGGGCGCTTCCGGACACCGGCTTCGGCACCGGTACACCAGACCAACCTGGGACTAGTCTCCTTCCAGTCAGGGCACATTAGCCGCAAGCCGATTGAACGCTTGAACGCTTGAACGGGAACCAAATACCGGAATTTTTCCAGCCCAAAATTTCTCTCCAAATTTCATCCTCACCGCAACCCTCCACCCACGACGTCTTGCCAACGATGGGTGTTGGGCGTCGTATGAGAAAGCAGGGGCCCCCAGCGTCTCTAGAGGAACTGGGGGTCAATTTGAAACGAAAGACCGCCAACGATGAGCCCGAGAAGCCTGCCCGAAAGAAAAGGAAGTCGGACGAGAGGCCGCAGACGACGACAAACACCCCAAAGAAACTTGTCAACCTCGATCGGGCCTTCCGAAATGACTCTCCTACGGTGCCGGCTAAATCAGGTGCAAAGACCAAAGTCAAGCTCATCAACAACGATGCGCAAATAACCGTCCCGCCTCCCATACCCACTGCTACCTCCGAGGGGATTGATGGGGACGAGGAAGACGAAGGCGAAGAGAGCGATTTCGATGCCACCGGAGTACCATTGAATACTGTCTCCCTGGCAGATCTGGGAAGTGAGGACGACGATGAAGATGACGATGATGAACTGCTACAAGCAGATCTCGACGGTGACATCTCTGACGACTCCGTCTACGACTCCGACCAAGAAGAACGCCCGCGGCGCATGTTTTCCGACGATGAGGACGAATCTGACGCCGAGGCGAAACTCACCGCTGCCAACATCGAAGGTCTTTCGCGAAAGCTTGACCAACAACAGGCGCAAGAGGATGCAGAAGCTCAACAAGAGTTGGAAGACGCAGCCCTACAAACAAACATTGCCAAAGACGAAGGCGTGCTGGACTCGGCCACTGCGCAGGGCCTTGCTCCCGACCTGTCCATCATTCGCACAAGAATGACCGAGACCATCCGCATCTTGGGCAATTTCTCACAGCTCGCGGACAAGACCAAATCGCGAACTGACTACACCGAACAGCTGCTCGCGGATATCTGTACATACTACGGCTACACGCCTTTCCTGGCTGAGAAGCTTTTCTCGCTCTTTACCCCGGCGGAGGCATTTGCCTTCTTTGAGGCCAACGAGACACCCCGCCCTGTCGTCCTCCGGACAAATACCCTCCGCACCAACCGTCGCACGCTTGCCCAAGCCCTGATCAATCGAGGAGTGGTCTTGGAACCTGTCGGAAAGTGGTCCAAGGTCGGCCTTCAAGTTTTTGAGGCGCCTGTACCGCTGGGTGCAACACCAGAGTACCTTGCCGGACATTATATCCTTCAAGCTGCCTCCTCATTCCTGCCCGTCATGGCCCTCGCACCTCAACCAAATGAACGGATCCTAGACATGGCTGCAGCTCCAGGTGGAAAGACCACGTATATTTCGGCTCTGATGCGAAATACCGGCGTCGTATTTGCCAACGACGCCAACCGCCAGCGAGCCAAAGGTCTTATCGGTAACATTCATCGACTAGGGTGCAAGAACACCATTGTCTGCAACTACGATGCGCAAAAGGCCTTCCCAAAGGTCCTCGGCGGTTTCGACCGTGTATTGCTGGATGCTCCCTGCTCCGGTACGGGCGTCATTGGCAAAGACCCCAGCGTGAAGACGTCCAAAAACGAACGTGATTTCCTGGCCCTGCCGCATCTGCAGAAACAACTTCTCCTGTCCGCCATCGATTCGACCGACCACGCCAGCAAGACGGGCGGCTACATCGTTTATTCCACCTGCTCGGTCACCGTTGAAGAGAACGAAGGGGTGGTCCAGTACATTTTGCGAAAACGACCAAACGTCAAAATCGTCGACACGGGACTGGGCAATTTTGGATCCGAGGGGTTCAAGAGCTATATGAACAAAAAGTTTGACGACAGGATGACATTGACGAGACGGTACTTTCCCCACCGAGAGAATGTGGATGGGTTTTTTGTGTGCAAGTTGAAGAAGACGGGGCCAACGCCGAAGGGCAGCAATGCGGAACAGACGAATCGGGTCGAGCACCTGCAGTCAGATGCACGGGCCGTCCTCAATGGAGACCGCGAGTTAGAAACCAACGGCAATGGTGCGGTGGACGAGGAGGCGCATGACGACTTTGGCGGGTTCAATGACGAGGAAGACAAGGAATTCATCGAGCGGGCGGAGAAAAAATGGCTCAAAGCCAGAGGATTGGACCCTCGAGTGGCGGATCGCAAAAAGCAGGAGCAGGAGCAGGGCCAGGACGAGCATAAGCAGAAGCAGATGCAGCCAAAGAGGGCTAATGGCGAGGCCGCCAAACAGATGAACGGCAAGAAGTCCAAAAAGGAGATGAAGACGAAGAAGTAAGAAGGGGGAAAGAAGGAAGAATAAATATGCCCTTTGACCAACAATAAGGAGACATTCTTTCTATCTGCCCATCATCCTGATTCCGGCCGCTTGTGTGAACATTTCTATTTCTCTAGGGAACCTCGATCTCAACATGCCCGCCGTCCATTCCGGATGGACTCTGAACATGTACTATACCAAGGGGTTTGGCTCTGAGGAGTCTCAAAGAAACAATAATGTCGACTTGCTTTGGTCATAGGACAGAGCCTCGTAGGCCCTTGGTTATTGCACTCAGTCTCCTTGGTCCACTGGGATTAGGACCAGCCCGTCCATTGTCAGGTCAGCGTTGGGACACATAGATAGATAGATAGGCGGAGATGATTCAAGGGGGAAAAGGCCCTTTTCAAGTTAAAACGCAAACTGGGATGTAATGCCAGGGAGTTCTACATCACTGTCCATTGCACGGCTAGGAAAAACCGATGACAACAACTGGTGAACGGAAAGAACCAAGAGGGGGGAGGGAGGGAGTGTGAAAACTCACGCGTTGTCAATTTCCATATCACGCCGCCGGCTATCGCGGTCGACGCTACGGTCACGAATAATACGGTGCATACCATGCGCAGGAGCCGTTTGTGGCGGAGGACAAAGACGTGCCAGGACTTTAGGGGCGGTTGGTCGTCCCACGGGCAGTCGGAATGCGAGCCGTGCTGGGAAGAAAGATGGCATGTCTCGAGGTGGTGGGGGGGCTGTCCTGAATCCGCTGTGCTGTTGGAGTCGGGTTTCGAAGGGGACGAGAATGAAGAAGAGGGATTGTGGCGCGGACGTGATATTGGCGGGTGTATTTGGAGTTGTTCAGACGGACTTTGAGGCACGGGGGACCGGCACTGATGGATCGCGCGCTCGAAGCTGTCCATTGCCCTGACTTTATGGGGCATGGAAGGGGAGTATTTTGGGATGCTCAGAGTGGAGGAGTTGGTGGCTGGACGGTTCTGGTCCTCACTTTCGAGATGGAAGAGAGGCTGAGGAGGACATTCGCGGACATCGCTGCGCTCTTTCGTGGCCGCGCATGGCGAGAGAGGTGACGAGCAGTGGTTTCGACTGGGCAGAGGCCCTGTGGTGCGAGGAGAACGTTGCGCCTCCGCTCCGTCGGGTACAGTCAGTGACGCCCGCAAGTGCTCTGAGAGCGACCCAAAGACGTCGTCTGAAAACCCGTCGGAGCGGTCGCAATGGCTCGGCCCGGGCAGACGGTAGGTACAGGGCGGCGGGATCGCGAGCGGTGAGAGTATGATTGTCGGGCGGAGGTTTGGTAGTGAGGTTTTTGGTCTCGGCGGCCGTGCAGGAGGTGAGCGTGGGAGCACGGCTTGGGGGGAAGTGAGAAGAGAGGAGGAATGAAAGAAGGATGGCCGTTTTGGCGAGATTGGGGATTTGGAACTGCAACTCTGCTTGGAACAAGAATGCGCGGTTGACGAGGACGTCGCTGTGGATGAGGTTCTAGGCGACATCTGGACGAGACACAGAGAGTGGCCGCTTAATACTTCTTCGGACTTGTTGCATCGCTGAGTTCTTCCTGCTGGTTAGAATCATCATGGGGGAAAAAAGGGATCAGCGCAAGAAGAAGAGGGATAGACAGAGGAAACCTGCACCCCATCTTGGTAGGATGGATGGGCATCACAGAGCAACAGCAAAGCAATGGATGTGCAACGAGTTTGCGGTCGAGCGACGAGACAGCCAGACAACCAAGAGCAATCGGTCGGTAACACAGCATCAACCCTTTGCTGGCTTCAGATTGGTGCCACGAAAGTCAACGGCAAGCGGCATGGGCCGGTGTCGATCTCGACTGGCAGTTGGCGGGCTCAAGAATGGGGGCTGCAGAATGTTGTGGAAGGGTTTCTTTTTCCTTCTCTGGGTTTGCTCAATGGGTGCGTTTCAATTTGTCTTGGGTTCCGCAGCTTCATCTCGGACTGGGTGGTTGCAGAGCATCGATGACTGTCTTGCGCGAAGCACTGTTCGGCCCCCATGACCAATACTGAACATCTGATTTGTTTTTTTTCTTGCAGCTCATGTTACCAACATGCTGATCTCGGTGGTGAGGAGCATGCACCTCGTTCGTTAGTCGACTTCCCAATCTAGTCTCTTGTCTGAAGTTGCGCTGGGAAAGGATGATGTAAGTCCGCTTCTATACTGTATCGCGCTGCATCCTGATGTACAACGAGAAACAAAACCAAGACATCGTTGGGGCTGGATATGATCTGACCTGCTACTCCAGATCGAAAAAAGCAATTGCTGGGGAAGAAGATGGTTCGAACGACCACACAGGCCGGATAGCGGAGTGTTCCGTCTTGTTTAATAATGGTTTGTCGCACGGTCGGGTATGTTAGAAGAGCGTGCGAGGTTGTCACGCCACAGGAAGAGCACAGTGAAGAACGAGTGCGTAGGCCGAGAGTGATGAGGTCGAGATGGATGGTAGAGGAAGACACGAAGTGCGTGGTCCGAAGCTGCGAGCCGACCGGAGTAGAATGCTTCCAGGTAATGCTAAACGACCTGATGCCGCAACCTGCATCCGAGTCCCAAGCGGCGCCACTGCACTAGCTGGATCTGGCAGAACCGGCGCTGTTAGCATATATCTACTAACCATACTGGACTCTGGAGGCGAGGGTTAGAGACGGCTAATAGTCGACGAACAAGCAGCAACGGGATCCGATGCAGGGAGTGTTCGGGGCGGGGTATTGTGGGATGTGCGACTGGAGCTTCAATCCTTCAACCCCATCGACGTGAAGCCCACGAACCCTCGTACATGGCTCGACAGTTCCGTAATAGTTCCTGGACCAAGGCCTCCAATGATGGTTGGCCTCTTGCTGACTGCTTGTTCGTCTGGGGTCACGAGCAGGGCTGCCATCTCCACGTTCTGGTGCCGATGATGTCGCTCCACGAACCAGGTCAGCCTCAATTGCCAATCCTATTTGAAGCGCGGAGATCCTCCCTCTTGCGTAGAACATTCATGGTCATCTTCAATTCTCTTCCCTCTCCCACATATATATATTTCCATCCTTCCACGTCAGCCTGAGACTTCGTCCCTGCTGTCGCCGTTTGCCGCAAAGTCCCACTCACACCTGATCCCGTCCCCCAACTCCTGTCCAACATGTCTGGTGAAAACAAGAACGGCGCCTCGCGCTATGACCCTAACTTTACCCAAAACGTTATCAATGCCATGGGCCCCAAGACCTCCCCTCGAATGCGAGAAGTTATGACCAGTCTGACCAGACACCTCCACGACTTTGCTCGAGAAGTTGAGTTGACGGTAGACGAATGGGCCGAGGGCGTCCGGCTGCTCAATTGGGCTGGCCAAATGAGCGACGAGAGAAGAAATGAAGGTCAACTGGTGTGCGATGTTGTCGGCTTGGAGACGTAGGGTATCACCCACAATAGCGTGCAAAGAGGGTGCTGACTGAACAGACTTGTGGATGAAATCACATACAAGAAAGCTTCCGAAGCTGCCGATCTGGCCACTCAGAGTGCCATTCTGGGGCCCTTCTTTCAAACAGACCATGCGATCCGAAAGAAGGGCGATAGCATCTCGGTGAACACTCCGGAGGATGCCGAAATTGTGTATTTGTACGGCCAGGTGGTGGATGCCACTACCAAGAAACCGCTGGCGAATGCTTCGGTCGATGTTTGGCAAGCATCCACAAATGGTCCGTCTAGACAAGATCATGCGGTCGGGGAATGAGCGCTGACAAAGTTCCTGCAGGATTGTACGAACAGCAGGATGAGAACCAGGCCAAGTCGAATCTATGCGGCAAGTTCTACACGGATGAGAACGGAGAGTACGGCTTCTATTGTCTGAGGCCGACTCCCTACCCAATTCCATACGACGGACCAGCCGGCAAACTGCTACAATTACTCGACAGACATCCTTACCGACCAGCCCACATCCATTTCATTGTGAGTGTTGACGTCCCTTGCGCCCGAGAGACCGGTATCTGACCGTTGTACAGGTATTGGCCGAGGGTTACAAGCCCATCACGACCCAGATTTTTGACAAGGAGAGCAAGTATCTCGATGACGATTCGGTCTTTGCCGTCAAGGATTCTCTGATTGTGGAATTCGTGCCCCGGCAAGGTGACGAGAAGGCCAAAAAGGAACTTAGATATGATCTTGGAATGGCCCCGCTGTCCTCCCAAGGAGAATCCGGTGAAGCGCTTGTGACGACTGGCATGGGTCGCGGCTTTTGAAGGCCACAATGGAGCTGTTGGGTCATGTTGATGTATGATGGATATTTGGTTTGTACAAAACCTGCAGATGGAGAGTCTTGATTCCGATCTGAAGGGCAAGTACGGGAGTAATTACTCGGTACTCCCTTCTTTGTTCTCTGTTGGGTATGTTTTCCGTATATGTAGATGGCACCCCCCGGCCACCACTGCAGGGAACCGAAGCACCCGTGGGCCCCTGCTCGGCTTGCCTAAACTGTCCGCCCACTGCCGCCCTAGCCCACGCCTTACTGCCCACGCCTTACTGCCCACGCCCGCCTTACCTATACGCCACATGTGATTGGGCCTTCCCCGCGACGAGGCCAAGCAATCTGGGCACTGAGGGGGCGTCAATTTTAGGGGGTCACGGGGGGTCACGGGTACGTCGCCTCGATCGCTCCACCGCCTCCCCCAAGTTTTCTCATAGCCCGCTTCCGACGGTTCCCAGCTGATCAACCGAACCTTCCATTTTCCCAAATTCCCACAAGGTGCCATATCCGACTTCTCTCAACCCACCTGCATCCATCAAACACCCGGAAAGTGACCCCTTGGCGTCATCCCAATCGTGCATAGCAAGGCTACGAGGCTGATGATCGGAGCCATCTGAGTGGTCCCATGCCTCGTCCACGCGTCAGGGACGAAGACCGGAAACGAGTCGCGCGGGCGTGTGACACCTGCAAACGGAGGAAGGAAAAGTGCGATGGACAACAACCTTGCTTGCTCTGCAAGAGACGTTGTCGCGAGGCGGAATGCATCTTCACCGAGGCCTACTCTAAGCGAGGCTCACAGCGCCAGGACAGTACTTCGTCATCTCATCCCATCACCCTCAAGGACGCCTTGAACGAGACCAACGATGCCGAGATTGCCATTGAATCGCTTCTGACGCTCTCCGGGTCGAGAAGCGCCCCAAAGTCTCCCCAGTACGAAAAGGATCCGGACTCCCTCGTGTCGAGAGCGCCGGTGCCCAAGCTGGCCAGACTGCTCCGGGATGGTCGCGGCAAGTTCATCTTCGTGGGCGACTCGAGCAACCTGGCGTTTGTGCAGAATATCCGCCGCCTGGTCAAGGCTGAGATCGGGGAATGTCAATTGACCTCGGACCCTCTCCGACATGCCATGTGCGAGGTAATCCCACCTCCCAAACCGCCGACACCTGCACAGTCGCAACATCCCAAGCCCAGCTTGACCGAGGCTCAGGATCTGATCAAACATTACCTGCTGGCGTCGAGTGGTGTGATTGACCTGTTCGACCCGGACGACATCACCCAGCATCTGTGTGCATGGACGTGCGATCCTACCGCTGAAACGGATTTCAACAGTTCCATATATTACCTGGTCATGGCGATTGGGGCCTTGACTCGTAGCGCGAGCGACCTGGATCAGGCAGAGTTTTACTTCTCGCGCGGTCGAGAGATTGGGGTCTCGAGTTTCTTGGAGGACCCCAGCGTCTTGACCGTGCAAGCCTACGCCCTGATCACCTTCTACATGTTGTCCGCCGTGAGAAGAAATGGCGCATTCATGCTGCTAGGTATCGCCGTTCGAGCCGCATACGCTCTTGGTCTACACAGAAGCGACATATCAAACTTGTTCGAACCGAGAGAAAGGCTTGCTCGGGAACGAGTGTGGAAGAGTTTGCGTGTCCTGGACCTGTATATGAGCGGCTCACTCGGCCGACCGCCCGCTACATCGGAAGTAGATGGCGGAAGCGTATCTTGGAACCGATCCACCAGAGACTATGAAGATATTCAGATGAACGGGCGCAACACCTCGGCGACACTGAGGATATGTTTCATTTTCGAGCGGATATTGAACGAGGTCTATTGTCGTCGAGAAGTCTCGGTCCAGCTCGTGGAAAGCATCTCGCGACAATATCGAGACTGGACCATGCAACTGCCGGCAGGCCTGCAAGCCGACAGTCTGGACCAGAAGGGCGGCTCTACTGCTCCGGTACTGACGCAGACGATAGGCATCGCCCACTTGAAAGGATCTTATTATTGGTCAATTATTCTTTTGACCAGACCGTTTCTGATATTCAAGGTATCGTCCAAGATCAAAGGTCGTTCCGAGGATGAGGACAGCGCTGGAAACTCCGTAACAATGACTCTGAGCGAAGCTTGTATTGACGCTGCGCTGAGGAGCATTGAAATCGCAAACGATATTGTCCACACCCCGGATGTCCCCAAGCGACTGTTCATGATCACCAACAGCACCTTCATCTCCGCCATGGTGATTGGATTTGCCATTTTTGGTGACTTCGACAAGTCGTTTCCCTTACTCAGCAGCATTGCCCAAGCGGAAGCCATCTTAGCAATCATGGCAAAGGATGATATGTCGGCTCGACGACACTATGAGATCACCAGCTATCTGCGCCTTGCTGCGATTGAGCATATTCGACGACGAGACCAAATGCAAATGCAGAAGCGAAGGCAGGACATCCACAACATTTTTGGCGATCCTATCAACAAGACAAACGGCGGAGGCTCCAGCAAAACGACCACCGGCGACCACACTCCCAGCCAGGTTTCGGTCTCAGAAGCCCCTCAAAACAACAATAGCACAACGACCATGTTCGATACCACGGAGGAGTCTAGTGACCCGGCGCCGCCGTGGCAGCTGCGATTCGACATGCCGTCTGAGAGCCGCGGTCCTGTGTTGACCACCTCTGGAGTATTGGCGTACAACGACGAGGATTCTGCCGATCCTATCCCGCCTTTCCCGCGCCCCGATTTCGGTCAGATGCCAGAGGCAGACTACTTCTCATCGGATGGATCCGGCATACCGAGTCTTCCCTCGTATACCGAAGAGTTTCCTCTCTTCTCGTTAATGACAGAGTTCGATCAGCTGCAGGATCCTTTCTCGATCGTCAGGACATGATCAGCATCAGTCAGTTTTGTCTGCTCTCAATTGAACCTGCTGTACCACAGGCCTAGCCAAGAGCCTTGAAATCCAGCCGGATAGAAACCACGCCCCCGTTGCAATCACGACGAGATACAGTCCTGTCGGAGCAAGTGACTTTGGCAAGATGTTGAAAACATAGGGGTCTAAAATTACGTCCACAGCCACCGGGGGAACTATCTTCATCAGTGTTTGGTTCAAGCTAAAATAGTCTGCCGCAGCGAAGACCTGGAGGAAGAGAAGAGTTGACTCGATATCGCTTGGACGGGCCTTGGCCTTCCTGAGCAAGAGGCTCTGACTATCTTCAGAGCCAAGCTGTGCATGGCGAGCAGAAGCATAGGCACTCAGCGATGTCAGAAGAGCGGGAGTCTCGAAGGTATGATCCACAGTGTGCGAATAGAGCCAGAAGGACGTAGGTTGCTGGTAAGAGTCAGCGACAGCCACCAGCGGAAGCGACATCCTACAGTTGCCAGCCAACATATTCGGAGCTCGTATCGTCTTCCGGGGCGGAGATGCTCAAGTAAGAACCAACTCTCGGTGCCCTTGGGAGAGACTGTGCTGGGGAAGCTTGCATTGATGCGAGTTCTAACGCTGGGGTATTGTTCCGACAGGCGCGTGAGAAACAGATTGTCGATACTCGCGTCTTGGGGTAGAGGTTCAGCCGCGGGAGTCAGGAAGATGACCTTTTCTACGTTGGCGAAGGCGCAGTAAGCCCATAGTAGCCAGAGGATGAAGAATTGATATGCCATTGACCTGGAGGATGGTGTCGATTGAGAGTATGTAGCGTGCATAGAGGTGGCTCGGTGGTAACGGCACATTTGATAAAACTTCGGGCCTCGGCGACTTGATTGGCCGTGACGCGAACCTGTGGAGCAGCCCGTTGTGATGGCGGTGATTGGCTGCGTGGGGCAGGGACAGGCGGTGAAAGAAAGAGCGCGCTGTCAACAAATCGAGGCTGCTTTCGAAGCCACCCCACAATTAGGTACAACCACCAAGTCCACCAGTCCACCAGTCCACCACTGCACCCTCACACCCCATCAACAATTGATTCTTTCAGTTCTTTGCTCATTGTTGACTTGTTCCGCATCTCCCCATCTCACATCTAGTCCTTCATCTCCTCCTCATCCCCTTCTTCAACCTCGTCACCATGAGAGAAGTCATCAGCTTGAACGGTACGTGACGATCCCAAGCACGCGTCCCTGACCGACCCTCGGAGCCCCTGTAAAGAGAATTTGTGACAAGAGGCTGACCTGCATCTGCAACTGTAGTTGGCCAGGCTGGCTGTCAAATTGCCAACTCATGCTGGGAGGTAAACACTCTTCCTTGATAACCGGTCATCTGTTCCTTGGACAGTTTACTGATTCTTGCAGCTGTACTGCTTGGAGCACGGAATCCAGGTGAGTGGTTCGCCGTCATCGTTGGCTCCGGCCACCAATTGACTTGAACCAGCCCGATGGATACCTTACCGAAGAACGCAAAGCCGCTGATCCAGACCAAGGCTTCAGCACCTTTTTCTCCGAGACGGGTAGGATATCAAACCTCATCCCTTGACTCTTCGGTGCTAACTGCGTTGTGTATAGGCAATGGCAAATATGTCCCGCGAACCATCTACTGTGATCTCGAACCCAATGTTGTCGACGAGGTCCGGACCGGCACCTACCGCAGCCTTTTCCACCCAGAGCAGATGATCACCGGGAAAGAGGATGCTTCAAACAACTATGCTCGAGGACACTACACCGTCGGCAAGGAGCTGATTGATCAAGTGCTCGACAAGGTTCGCCGCGTGGCCGATAACTGCAGTGGCCTTCAGGGCTTCCTTGTGTTCCATTCGTTCGGTGGTGGTACCGGCTCCGGGTTTGGCGCCCTGCTGATGGAGCGTCTCTCGGTTGACTATGGCAAAAAGTGCAAACTGGAATTCTGCGTCTATCCAGCTCCGCAAGTCGCCACCTCCGTGGTCGAGCCATACAACTCCATTCTCACAACGCATACGACTCTGGAGCATTCTGACTGCAGTTTCATGGTAGACAATGAGGCCATCTACGACATCTGCAGGCGCAATCTGGGTATCGAGCGGCCCAACTACGAAAACCTGAACAGACTCATCGCCCAAGGTGCGCATCACTTCCCCCATTGACCCGAGCTAGCTGACCCAAGAAACAGTCGTGTCCTCCATCACTGCTTCCCTCCGATTCGATGGATCCCTGAACGTCGATCTCGCCGAGTTCCAGACCAACCTGGTGCCTTACCCACGCATCCATTTCCCTCTCGTGGCCTACGCACCCGTTGTTTCAGCGGCCAAGGCACAGCACGAGGCTCACTCAGTGCAAGAGATCTCGATGTCGTGCTTTGAACCAAACAACCAAATGGTCAAATGCGACCCCCGCAATGGCAAATACATGGCTACTTGCTTGCTCTACCGTGGAGACGTGGTCCCCAACGACGTGCACCAGGCCGTCGCTACTCTGAAGACCAAGCGTACAATTCAGTTCGTGGACTGGTGCCCGACTGGCTTCAAGATTGGTATCTGTTACCAGCCTCCGCAGATGGTGCCCAATGGTGATCTCGCCAAGGTTAATCGCGCAGTGTAAGTCGCATTCCGGTGCCTTCTTATACGTAATCTAATATCATCACAGATGCATGCTCTCGAACACCACTGCCATTGCCGAAGCATGGTCTGCCCTGTCTCACAAGTTCGATCTGATGTACTCGAAGCGTGCGTTCGTCCACTGGTACGTGGGTGAAGGTATGGAAGAAGGGGAATTCTCCGAGGCTCGTGAGGATCTGGCAGCATTGGAGAGAGACTACGAGGAGGTGGCCAGCGACTCGATCGAAGAGGGCGATGAGGGAGAAATTGAGCACTAGTCTATGTGTCTTCCCACGTTTGGTATTCTCTAAGCCTGTGAGAGTCTATTGCAAGGAGTGCAGGAGCAAGGGATAGTTCAGAGTCAATCCTGGGTGTCCGACGACAAGCATTGAGGGTGAATTGTGTTGTTGAGGATAGTCTCTGCGAGACAGAACATGGCATAGATTGCATCAGTGGTGCATCATTGTCGCAAACCATTCATCACCAGCACCGGTCACCAGTCACTTTTCCATGCTGAGGATCATCCTTTTATGCTGGCGACTGGTATTCACGTGTATGGGTATGCGTTGATGCTCAACAAGCAGATGCGTATGGCCTACCTAGTAGGTACCTACAAGGTATGTAGGTACCTCGTAATACGCATATCCGACCCGTTCTTTACTTACTGGTGCCTCCAGCTTGGAGCTCCAGGTTAGTGAGGCTTGGCGGCCGCAGGGCTCCTCGTTCGTCATCGCGATCCACTCGTCGCCCATGGGCCATCGGCCCATCACTTAGTAACTCATCTCCATCTCTCTCCATCCGTATCACTTCCAGCCATTTCCTTACTGCGTAGAATCCATTGTCGCCTATCCTTGTGTTCCCGCGAGATAAAAGTCGTCTTTGCACTCAGCTCGGTTCAGAATCACTTGCGCGTCGTCTTAGTGCCTACCTGCGCCTTGCCTCAATCTCTCCATGCCATCCATGCGCGACAACTAGAAGTATCCTGATCGCACAACAAGCCTATCACGTCCGGTCATGGCGGAGACGATCGGATCAGCTGCTTCAGGTTCGCCAATTCTGCTGGAACAGGTGTTTGTCCAGCTAGGGCGCTGACACGCTCCATTCCAGGGCATCCGAATCTCAACTTAACGGCCGAAGAGAAGCGAGTTTACGGCCAACTCCTGAAAGAAGCTGACCCCGATGGTTTCGGAGCTGTCTCTGGAGATGTGGCCGTCAAATTCTTTGAGCGGACAAAGCTGCCGCCGGATGTGTTAGGACAGGTCAGGAAAATAGAGGCCCTGGCCTGCGCTCCTGTTGACGGTGGATTTAGATATGGCAGATTGCCGATACCGAAAATCGAGGCTTCCTCACGCCAGCAGGGTTTGGAGTCGTGCTCCGACTCATTGGCCATGCGCAAAATGGCCGTTCACCTTCGGCTCAACTTGCAACTCAGAGTACGCCTCGTTGAGAACCTCTGGAGATCACTCAACTAATAATCGCAGCTGCGCCTCTCCCTCGATTCGATCCTCACCCATCCGAGCAACCGGCTCAACCCCTTCCACCCCCTCAGACCTCCCAACCTGTCGTTCAGCAATCTACGGGACCTCCTGCTAGCCCGACTCCAGCGGCTCCTCCTCCGATCCGAGTGCCAGCCCTGACACCAGAAAAGGTCGCTGAGTATTCGACCATGTTTGAAAAATCAGGCGCTGAGAACGGAATCCTCTCCGGCTTGCTAGCTAAACAAATATTTGAGAAAGCGAGATTGCCCAACGAAGTGCTCGGGCGAATATGGGGTCTTTCTGACACGCAGGGCCGGGGCTCCTTGGATGTCACGGAATTTGTGATCGCCATGCATCTTCTAGCTTCCTACAGGTCAGGCCAGATGCGTGGCGTTCCCAGCACACTTCCTCCAGGCCTTTATGAGGCTGCAACCCGTCGGCCGGCTACACGGCTAAGTAGTGGATCACGTCCGGGCTCAGGTGCTGTCCCCGGCGTGACCTATGGTGGCCGTCCACAAAGTCCCATCACAAGGCAGCCGCAAGTAAGCACGCCGCTGTCGTTGTCGGCGCAATCAACGGGTGAGCCTTGGGTCATCACTCCCGCCGACAAAGCTCGCTTCGACCAGATTTTCGCAACTGTCGATCGCCAAGGAAGAGGCTTTATCACTGGCGATCAAGCGGTCGAGTTCTTCGGGAATGCTAGGCTGCCTGAAGAGATCTTGGCTCAGATTTGGGATTTGGCAGACATCAACTCCGAAGGTCAATTGAACAGGGACGAGTTTGCTGTGGCCATGTACTTGATCCGACAACAACGAGGAACGAAAGATGGGCGAGGCATTCTGCCCGCCACCCTCCCTCCAGCTCTCGTTCCTCCCAGCATGCGGAAACTTCAGATTGCACCAGCTCAGCCAACCGCGCCAGCATTCGAAAATGCGGCGCCAACAAAACCACGTTCTGCTGCAGACGACTTGTTTGGTCTCGACGCATTCGGTCCTGCTCCCACAGTTTCTGCAGTCGCGCCTGCTCAGGTGCCACAGTCTACAGGCGGCACTGATGCCGGGCCGTTCGCCAACCCCCCGGGTGTTTTGACACCGCAGATGACGGCCTCAACCTTCAAACCATTTGTGCCGACCAGCTCCTTTGGTCAAAGTATCATCCCTCAATCGACTGGATCGCCTGCACCGCAACCAAAGGCGCAACCAGACGACCTTCTCGGAGATGCAGATCCAGAGATCAGTTCGAAACTCACAAACGAGGCCAGCGAACTAGGTAATCTGTCCAATCAAGTGAGCAGCTTGTCCAAGCAAATGACGGAGCTTCAAACGGACAAAAGGCAAACTGAGCAAGAGCTGTCCGGCGCATCTGCACAGAAGAAAGCCTTTGAAGGCAGACTAGCTCAGCTCAGGTCTCTCTACGAAAAGGAGGTCCAGGAAGTTAAGGTCCTCAAAGAACAACTGACGGCTTCCAAGAACGATACGAAGCGGCTGCAACAGGAAATGGCCATGATCGACGGTACCAATCAAGATCTTACAACCCAGCACCAGCAACTTCGTGCTGCCCTTGAATCCGACCAACGCGAAAATGCTTCACTAAAGGAACGCATTCGACAGTTGAACCAGGAGATTGACCAGCTCAAACCGCAGCTCGAGAAGTTCAAGTCCGATGCGAGGCAACAGAAAGGTTTGGTCGCAATCAATAAGAAGCAGTTAGCTACTAACGAGGCCGAGCGAGATAGAATAAAGGCTGAGATTGCTGCTGCTCAAAAGGAAGTTGAGGAGGCTCGACGAGAGGCCGAGGAGTCGGCTCGACAAGCGGAGGCTTCCAAGAAGGAGTTGGAAGAAACGCGGAATATTCCAATGCCTCAGCCTCCGGTCAAAAGCCCTCCTGTCGCAAGCCCTGCGCCATCTACAAACTCCAATCCATTCTTCAGGCGGACAACGGACACGGCCTTCCCTCCTGCGACCGGCGGGGGTGAGCCAAAGGACAGCCAGAGCGCTTTCGACAGCATATTCGGGCCCTCATTTGCAGCTGCGGCTCCTGCTCCCACAACCTCTTTCTCGAGTCAACCATCAATTCCAGCCGGGCAACAAGACCTCCCACAGCTTGAATCACCAGCGTCCGCATCCACGCCAAGAGATGCTGCTGAACCTCCAGCTCCGCCCCAATCCCGACAGATCACCTCGGCAGCACTTCCTTTCCGCAGACCACTTGAGAGAGAGGATTCCATCAGCTCTTCCATCAAGGTTGCGGCACCCGCAAGCAGGATCAGCCCCGGTGAAACGCCCCAACCGCTGACTCCTGCGTCCACCGCAAGCCCGCCCGAGCACAAGGAATCGACCGACGATCCCTTCACAGCCGCAGCACCTGATGAAGAACAGGAATCTGTTCGCAGGACTCTACCTCAGCCATCCGCTGGAGAAACAACGGCGGACGAAACCTTCGGTAAGGCTTCAGCCGACCAGTTCAAAGACATTCCTGGAGCGTTTCCAGCTTCACGATCCGACACTCCCGGCGTCGATCCGACAGTGATTGCTGCAGGGGCCGGCGCTGCAGCGTTGGCCGCTGGCGCAGGTGCCGCTGCTGCCGCCACTGCCACGACTAATGGTGATAAACCGACCAGTCCACCACCCACGGCACCCTCCAAGGCCCCTGAGCAGAATTTTGACGATTTCTTTGGAGGGCCAGCACACCAGCGCTCAGCGTCTCAGAAGGCAGCTGATTTTGATTCTGCTTTTGCCGAGATGGACAAGCCGAAGGGCGAACCCAACGAGGAGTTCCCGGCCATTCAGGAACTTGGCGCCGATGATGATGATGATGATAGTAGCGAGTACAGCGAGGACGAGACACCCATGAAATTCGACGACGACTTCAACACCAGGTCTCCGCCTCGAGACAGCCCAACTGACGTGAGAACTGGCAAGCAGCCCGAGGTCGCACCAGCGCCGAACAGCACACTGTCACCACGCCCTGCCATGGCCGGCTCCTTATCTAATGCTAGCTCACTGCCCGGGGTGGAATCCCAACAATCCCCGCCCAGTTATGGCGATGCGGTACCTGAGGACAACCCAACCCATTTCCCCCGAGAGTTCAAAGGATTGCTACCAGAGCGTGAAGACCCTACTTCACCGCCTCCAACGGCCGGCGGGTCTAGCCATCCTGCTCCTCCCCCAAGTGGAGTTCCGCCAGCATACGGTCCCGAAGTCCACTCAAGAAGTCCCCCAGAAAGCAAAGCGACGGCACCGCCACCTACAACAGGCGCACCGTTTGACTTTGACTCTGCATTTTCAGGCGTGGGGGCTGCCCCTGTGGAAGACGATGAGGATGACGAGGACGACGAGGACGCTGCCTTCAGTCCCCCGAAGAGTGCTGCCCCGGAGTTTGACCCGACTTTCGATTCGCCTCCGCAACCCTCTCGCGCGCAATTCCCGTCAGGCCCAGTCACGAACGGGACGCCAAAGGCTGGAAATGACGATTTCTATTCCGCCGTAACGACATCCGGACCACCCCAGCAAGCCCAGACCACGACTCCTCCTGTCTCGCACGACTGGGACGCTCTCTTCGCGCCATTGAACACAAATGCGAATGACAGTGCTCCCTCGCAACCAGCGGCTGGTTTCCCGCAAAGTCAAACGCAGGCGGTGGAAATTTCTACACCGTCACCACCGCAAGGGCAGTCGGGTGTGTCTTCCCCGACGCCAGCAATCGTCGTTCCACCAGCACAGGCGTCATCTCCGCCACGGTCAAAGGCCGAACGACCTCAAATCGGTCGCGCGCTGAGTACGGGCACGGAACACGACGACCCAATCCTCAAGCGATTGACGGCGATGGGATGGTCACGGGAAGAGAGCCTTGCAGCACTGGAGAAATACGATTATAACATTGACAAGGTGAGTTTCGCGCAACCCGTACCCGGCTAATGAAGTGTTTGCTGCGCAAAGTTTTCGTATATTTGACCATTGAGCGACCGCTTTGGAATCCTGTGCTGACGATCCTTGATTTGCACATTGCAGGCTGCGGATTTCCTGACTTTCCGCTCTTGAGTCCTGACCCCCTGCATACCATACCCCGAGACGCCATGACACCGGAGGGAGTAAGGTGGGAGTCCGGACAGGCGGGCAAACATCAATTTTGCTTGGAGCAGAGAGTGGGTGGTGAGTGAATGCTCGCACCTTGCAGCGGGGGATTTGGAGGAGAACCAAAAAAAAAGGGTGGAAGAGAAAAAAAACTGTACAGCCTCGATTACACGGTGATGGACCGACCCCAATCTCTCCCGGACTTGACCATTTTTTCCGCCTTCGTCTTCTCCTCTGATATTGATTGGTTTTCTTTTCCTTTTGGTGGAAAATATTTTCTTGTCTAATCCAGACCCAACCCCACACGACATGTAGCAAGCGCGCGCGCAGATAGGCAGAGAGAGCCGAGAGTAAAGTCAAGAAAAATGTGATTTTGTATGGCAGAAGGGGTTAATAAATGGAGCATATCAAAAAACCAACCCTCCCCCCAAGGAAGAAGGGGAGTAATGTATCTCTTTTCTTGGGTACGTCCGGGCGGCATACGATGTATACCTGGGTGTTACTCGCTCGTTCGCTCGCTCGGTACGGAGTACATGGTCGTATTATCATTTGGAGCTGTGATCTTCCCCCCCTTGGATCTCGCTTCGATCCTTCGCGTCTTCGCATAATACTTAGGGCATATACTTGGGACGGGTTATGTATCGACAAGAGGTATATATCTCTCCAGGTAGGTTACCCAGGCCATGGGCGCTGAATAAGCCCTGACCAACAACCCATATATTGGCGCGATGGTGGTTTGTGTGCGAGTATATAATATCAAGAGGCTCCCGGTTGTTGTTTGCCTCCGTTGTTGCTGCTGGGATGGAGAGACCCTGTGGCTCCATGGCCCCGCCCTAAGTACCTACCTGTCTACCACCCCTCTGTGCCATGATGTTGCAATACGAGGCGGCACAGAGAGCAATACTCCCCAAAAAGGTAGATATAGGTACACAGAAGGCCGGTGTGGTGGGTGACATGGCCGTCACATCAGCGCCAATATGGGTTGGAGAGGAGCACCGACCTCAGTCTCAACGCTCACTTCCAGGTCTCTCCTCTCTCAGAAGGCCATGACGCTTACAGCACGGGCGACAACCATGCAAGTCTCATACTGCGTATGCGTATGATTACTCACCGTCGTGGGCGATCGCACCACTCTGGTCTTCTGCTCGGGACACACCACTTGCCAAATTCTGTTCGCAAACAGGCCGCAGATCGATGCTTGCTCACGATCTCAGAATGTCTGCAGACGACTTGGACGAGCTGCTGGTATCGATCTGACGTCGGAGGCTCGAGAGCACGACACCCAAGTCTGACTCGACCCGCTGCCGTCAGGGCAAGACTCCCAACCCTATTCCCTATGACCACCTCCAATTCGTCGACCGAGGTTTTCTCCATCCCAATAGTTCCCCAATAGGGCAGCTCTCCAGGAGCAAAGATTACAAACCATGCATGTGTGCCATGCGCTGAAATGGTGGGACCATTGAGCAATCCGAGGCTAAGTTTCTCGACTTACGTACGGGCTTTGACTTCGATCCGTTACGAGATCCGAATCGGCGGAAGCCATGTGGTTGCTAGGTTGTCGAGTGCGCCTCAGGCGCCCGCGCTCAAGCGAAGCGCCACGGCCACGGCCACGCACGGCCTTCCGAGGTGCGGCTTCAAGGTCAACGGCGAGCTCCCTCCCATGAGCTGCTCGATCTTGGAACCGGCCGCCGTCAGTACATCTTCAGCCATGGCCCTTGACTTGCTGACGTCTTCACCTGCGATTTGCCGATGACCTGACGGGAATGCGCCTATGTCTCTACCCATCATCTCATAGTCATGGACAGCCAGCGAGGAGCGTTGCCTACGCCCGGTCGGCGCTCCCTCCATCTCTCGCGCAGCAACTCCAATCGAACCCCTGACACCGATGATGACTCGGAGAATAGCCGTTGTCCCTCTCCCTTACTTACAATCGAGGGTGGGTATCGGATCGATCCTTTTGTTCGATACCCGGTTGTGCGGGCTTCCAGGGGCGTACAGTTCATGGCAGATTACTGTGAGTTCCGCGTTAGCCAAACAACCGAGATCGCTCTCACACACATCATTCTCAGATGTTCAAGTATGGGCGCCCCAGCAAGCACAGGCCTTCAGTGTCCAGAATGGAGGGAATGCGCTCCTCGAACTGGTGTTACCATTAGCATTGCGGAATTCGATGCTTTTCCAGGCAACCATTGCCATGACAAGAGCGGCGTGGGTCTTGAGGAGGGGATCAGACCCTTTGGCCGACAAGATGTTGCTTCGACACCGAGGAATCGCGCTGAGAGAGCTGAGAGATGCTCTGATGGCTCCTGATCGGCCAAATCCAGACCTCGTCTTGCTGACAATGTCTACGCTTCTCACCTTGAACGTAAGGCATGATGTGTCAAACACCAAACTTCCTCCAGTCTGATGATATTCTAGTACATGATCAACGATCTGGAATCCTTTGAAATCCATCTCCGTGTCCTGGAGAACATGTTAGCATCCACCGAACCCGAATATGATACCGGCGTTAAGAGCTTTGTGCGAGGGAGGGCCCTGGCGTAAGCAGCGTTTCTCCCGAACATATAACTCAGGCTCAGCTGAACATAGGTTTGGAGTGCTTGCCTCTTTCTTGCAAGCTAATCAGCCGAGTTATGCAACCCGGATCAACGAGAAAGGCCACAGGATCAGTACATTGACTTATCCGGGCCACCCTTTTCTCCCTGATCTCTGCGCAGTCATTGCGCAGTTGCCGGAGGGCTTTGCAGAAGTTGCATTGAGTGGCAGCATTGCGGTCGAACTGATTAGCTTTTTGGTGAAGCTGACGGAACTCTTCATCTGGATTGCGTCCTCTCAGCACGAGAGGAACGCCCAGCCGAAGCCTGACATGACAATGCAGCGGGCAATTTACGATCTCCAGTGTCTCTCTGCCCTGCAGCTGACTCCAATCGAGATGCAGATATCCCGAGCATTGCTGGCCTTCTGTTTACATCTCTACAACGAGATGTCGTTTCACATCCCGCTCGCGCGACCTCTTCGCCCCCTCCTGGAAACATTCAACGCGCATACTGAGACCCCTCGGAGCCCCTGGCTCAATCGGTGCCTTTATTGGTGTTCGATAGTCACGGCCAGTGCTTGGGACACCCAGATTGATGCATCTCCAGAACGACATGTTGTTCTCGACAACCTGATCAACAAGTTGCCGGAGGCGAGATCGTGGGAAGACACCGAGGAAATGATGAGGATGTTCCTGTGGCAGGATCGTCTTGCGGATGAGTGGGAAATTTGTTGGCGTGCGGCATCGTTCAGAAGGCGTCGGCAGAGGAGAGGAGCATCTCCGCTCGCGGTGGCACCACTTTGGCTAATCGAGGGTGTACAGAAGTCGGAAACTTCGTCGTCCGAAGAATATTTGTGAGCGTTCGGTTGAGCTTTTGAAAGACGTCAGGTGCACGCTGAAAGCCTCAGAAGGGTGGGGAGGAGGAGCAGTCTGGAGACACAGAAAGGCACGCGCATGAGATCAACAGCCGCTCTGCCGGTCCAGCACACACTCGGACGCTCAGTGGCATGGCGTCGTCTATCATTCACAGCTGTTGTAAGCTCAATTAACACAGGAAGGACGCTCTGATGGCAATGTGAAATGGGCGTCCCGAAGAGGGCCAAAAGTACGCCAACCTCGAGGGAGAGAAATGCCAAAATTCAGGTGTGGCAGTGTGATCAACTGCCTTTGCCAACTCTGGATCCGGCAAGGAAATGATCCGAGGCAGGTGTCCGCGGCAAAAGGCAAACAAGGTGGCAGCATCATTCTTTGTCTCTTCTATGTCTGCGACGGCTTGCTGTGCTATCGTGGCTATCTACATCTGGCCCTCTTTTCCAGCGCTATACGAGCTCAACGCCGGTCCGCCCCTGCTTGTTTTGAGGCTTATTCCCACTGAACCGGCCACCCAGAAAGATATGAGAAAAGGCGAAGAAGGCTGTGATCCCAAAGAGGATGCTATTGAGTTGGTCAGAACAAGCCCGGAAGCATCGATCACAGGTACTTACAACTCGAAGACGCCGACCACGACGCTGCCTGTGGCGGACTGACAGGCACCGACTTGACAAATGTCTGATCGGCGCAAGCGATCTGCAACGGCGGCGAATCCGGCCAGCCACAAGATTGACGTTGTGGCTTCGGCCGCGAGCATTGCAAAAGGATGAGCCAGGACCGGGAAGTAGCGAGGTGTCAAGATTGTGTAGGGAACCGTGACGAGCATGGTGAAGACGGCAGTGAAGATGAAGAAGACCACACCAGCTGGGACATCAAGGGCAGGATGGTGGGTGTTCAAGACGTTGGCCACTGAATTGTCTGTCAGCTCAGCACTACCTTGGAATAACAGGAAAACACACCAGTCGCTCCGAGCGCCATGGCGACAAAAGCCAACGCCCCTTGAACGATGCGGAGGATAAGGACTGGGCTGAGAAACATTTTGAATGGGTTCTTGCTGTTGTTCCTGATGGCGACGTGGGCAAGTTCTGATGATGAGAGAGATGTTCCTAGATCTCTGAGAGATGAAGATGCTGTTGGCAGATGATGACGACGATGATGGCTTCAAACAGAGGTCCTGCAGAGAAGAGAAATAAATTTAAAATTGATCAAAACATCGACGCCGAGAAGGTGAACTTAGTGACCCGCCGAGAAGATTGTTCCGGAACTGTCAGTACTAATACAACACACTCACAACCGGCGCGGGCGTGGAAATAGATGAGAATCAACGTAGAGAAGGGGAAAAGGAAGAGCGAGACAGGTGTTCATAAAGCAATCAGCGGTGAGCGAATCCTGGACGACATGTTCCTCGTTTGTCCCACATGCGCACCAAGAAACGCTTTGGGAGGACAGCAAGATTGGTTTGTTTGAGATGGCATCAAAGAGGACGACTTGCATGGACGGCCTTTGGTCGACCACGACGGGGAGTGGGAAGATGGTGTTTGACATTCAGATGGAAGTCGGAGAAGAACAAAGAAGATGAAACAGACGAAGAGGATGGACGACAAGCGACGCAATGATGGATGGACGATGGAGCCGAGGCTGCGACAAGTTTGTCAAGTCGCGATGCGCAGGGCCCGCGTTTCAGATCCAAACGCGTCGCAGTCATTGATTCGACACCACAACATCTTCTGTGTACGCCTTGAACACCCGCCGTACACCACGCTCCTCAAGAATCCTTCCTGTCTGGCAAACTTGACGGTTGCGACTTTATTGCTGTCCATCTTACGCGTGGCTAGGCACTTTCACCTCCAGCAACCACTTCGCCCCTGTTCCCACGTCGTTTCCCCCTTGAGATCATCCCTCCCGAGTACAGAATCGTGGGCAGAATCCCTACAGCGCACCAGAGTGCCATAGTCCACGTCATGGTCTTCCAGCCTGCAGCACTTTTGACCGCCGCAGATACCAATGGGCCCAGCAGACTCCCTCCAGCCCATGACACATTGAAGATCCCGTAACTCTGGGCATAAGCAGACTTCCCAGCAAAGACATCAGGCTCCTGCCGCACCTTTGCATCACACACTTTACTGAATTCTGCCATCAAGGAGGTCAAGAGAAGCGCGGTAGCGGCTCCCAAGAGCACCAGCAGTGCGCACAGTAACACTGCTTGGCCGACTGTGTCATGGTCAACCAGCCGGAGCAGCACCCAAAAAGGCACTGACAGCACCAACCCCGACGCTGCAATCCAGCGCGGGCCGTACTTGTCTGTCAGATGCCCTATCCACGGACCTGCAAACCCCGGCACAATCAATGCCAGGAATGCCAACCCGGCCCCCAAAGAATTCCAGCCGAAAATCTGGTTTACATACAAGGGAAGAGTCGTATCGATGGCAGTAAAGGTCATCGCCCCCACGAGATTCCCCCAAAAGGCCACCAGAATACGTCGCGACTTGAGCAGGATCAACATGGATGGTAGTTTTCGTGCAGGGCGTGCGGTCGCAGGCTCGGCGACCGCCGTATTCGCACTTTTCTCGGCCATAGCGGTCGATGCATTCCGATCATGGAGTTCTATGTCCTGCTGAGCAGGAGGAGTTGACGTGGGCTGATGGGTAGCAGTGTCTGGCTCATGCCACCTGGCAGCTATTTTCTTCTCGATCAAGGCCAGCCGCAGGAGGATGTCGAATCCGATCACAGCAAAGGTGACCCCGAACACAGCGTAGTATCCCGACCGCTCGTATACCACGCCACCAATCAGCGGCGACACCAAGACCCCCAACGAGGTCGCAAGGCTGACATAGCCAATGGCCTGGCCTGACTCCTGCTCACTCACCGTATCTGCCATGAGGGCCAAGGCGACCACCCATACCACAGCAGCCGACACCCCTTGCAACAGCCTGCCCACCACCAGCACGGGGATGGTTTTGCCCAGGCAAAGCATCAAAGTTGATCCGGTAAGGAGGACGAGCCCGGCAAGAAATGGCCCCCGGCGAGAGCTTGTCTGGTCGGCGAGCCAGCCAAAGATAGGGGCGAAGAATAGCAACGCAGCTGCATATACGGAGAGCAATACGGAAACCCAATGCTGCGTGTCGGCATGGGCCACGTGCACTCGTGTTTGCAGCGCAAAGGGAATAACGGGAACAACGACCCCGTAGAGGAAGACATCCTGGACCGTGGTGAGCAGCTGTACCGCCATGAATGCCTGACAGATCGGAACCCACAGTGAAGACAGACCAGCACACAGCGAAAACAATAAAGACCTTGGACGAGCGGAATTCGAGAAATGCAGGCCTGCTTCCGCGCCGGGGAGATATTCGATTGAGCATGTCATGGATAACGCTGTTCAGCCCCAGAGCCATGGCGGGTGATCGTGACCGCCTTGCCTGCTTCTACCCTTGTAGTTGCAACGACAACTTGGGGCCCTAAAACCACAGGGTTTCGCGAGGTCGGTGTACCAGCGTCATGGATCTAGGATTTCTTTTTCTAGGCGGCGTATGGTTTGTCGCTTAGATAATTTGACGTTCTTCTCCGCCCCGGATCCGAAGACTTGGGCACGAAGGCCTTCAGCCTCGGATATGAGCATCGTCGCTTTGGGGCAGCAGCAAGAAACCCCGTTTCTGCTTGGAGTAAAACCGTGTGCCCTGCGAGCTCAATGATTTTCCGCTTTGCATGTCAGGTACCAGACCCCGTCAGCTCACCGGATGGTCGCCTACGCCGCATCGGGACAAGGCTGTTCATGATCCCAACTTTGCATATTCTCTACAATCACCCCAGCTTCACGCAGACAGCTGAGTCACAACAACTGAAGATACGAACAAATTGTCAAGTTGTCTTCGTATCTACCTGGGGCGGAAATGCGACGGTGCTCTCTGGCTCCAACTGAAAGTGACGTGGGTTGATGGTCCGATCACGCAATTCTCTAGCACCGCGTCCAATTGAGTCTTTCAAATGCGGGGAACACGCTTCGAGGTACCTCGAGATGATCAAAGGTGAGCCGTGAGACTGCGAGGCACCCGCCCCCTCCAAGACTTTTCTTTCTGTGCACGCCATCTTCAGAAGCTTCTCTCCAGCGTTACCTCGCTCGTATCTCTCCGTGTCTCTGGAGCTCTCCGTAGCCCTTGAGCCGAGACCCAATACAGGTATTGACTGCTCTTTCTCTCCACCCCATCTTCCTCTCTTCCCCTCTACCACCCTTCAACACAGTACACATAACCTCACTCCAGCAGTGCGGCAATCCTGCATGTCCTAACCTTCATTCCCTGGTGACTGACTAGCTGCTCCCGTCCTCAACTCCTCTCTGACTGAGCTGTCGATCTTCCCCTCCAAGCAAGCCAACAGCCTTCACGATGCCTTCCGACGACTGGGTTCAGAAATTCGAGACCCTTCAGGTCCACGCTGGCCACTCGCCAGATCCTGCCACCAATTCCCGCGCTGTGCCCATCTACCAGTCTACCTCGTTCACCTTCAACGACAGTGCTCATGGCGCCAGGCTGTTTGGTCTGAAAGAGTTTGGGAATATCTACAGCCGGATCATGAACCCTACCGTGGATGTCTTGGAGAAAAGAATCGCCGCCCTCGAAGGGGGCATTGCCGCTGTGGCCGCTTCATCCGGTCAAGCTGCGCAATTCATGACCATTGCGGCGCTGGCGCACGCTGGGGACAACATCGTCTCGACGTCCAACCTGTACGGCGGCACCTACAATCAGTTCAAGGTTATGTTTCCCCGCTTGGGTATTCAGACCAAGTTCTTGACCTCGGAGAAACCCGAAGACTTCGAGGCCGCCATTGATGACAAGACCAAAGCTGTGTATGTCGAGACCATTGGCAATCCTCGTTACAACGTCCCAGACTTTGAGGCGATTGCCAAAGTCTGCACTGCCAAGGGGGTGCCTCTGGTGGTGGACAACACTTTTGGCGCCGGTGGCTACTTCTGTCGGCCGATCCAACATGGTGCACATATCGTTGTGCACAGTACGACTAAATGGATTGGCGGCCATGGCACCTCCATTGGTGGCATCATTGTCGATTCGGGCAAGTTTGATTGGGCAGGCAACGCGAAAAGGTTCCCTCAATTCAACGATCCCGCTCCGGGCTATCATGGCTTGAAGTTTGTTGATACCTTTGGGCCTTTGGCCTTCCTCATTCGAGTGCGTGTGGAGATCCTGCGTGATTTGGGATCCTGCATGTCGCCCTTCAACGCGCAGCAGTTCATCCTGGGTGTTGAGACACTGAGCTTGCGATGCGAGCGGATTGCGGAGAACGCGTTGAAGCTGGCGAAATGGCTCGAGAAACATCCTAACGTGGCGTGGGTGTCGTATCCTGGGCTGGAGAGCCACCCCTACCATCAACTAGCCAAGAAATATCTTCCCCGCGGGTTTGGAGGCGTCATGTCTGTCGGAGTCAAGGGTGGCTCCGCCGCAGGTTCGCAGGTGGTGGACGGATTCAAGATTATTTCCAACCTGGCCAAGTGAGTGTTTCTCTGAGTTTGTCCAAAGACCGTCCAGCTAATTGGAGGACAGTGTTGGAGATGCAAAGACGCTCGCCATTCATCCGTGGTCGACGACCCACGAACAACTGACCGAGCAGGAGCGCATAGACTCGGGCGTCACCGAAGACATGATTAGAATCAGTGTGGGGATTGAGCATATCGACGACATTATTCACGACTTTGAGCAAAGCTTTGCTGCCAGCGAAGCTGCCCGACCGGACGCAGAGGGCAACAAGGACAATGCAGCGACGGGAGCGAAACCAAGTGGTGATGCGGCACTCAGTGGGGCTACCTGATCTTCTTGACCTTTGATCTTGTTTCGTTTCATGGAATGTTGCGATACAGAAGAAGGATCCTGATGACACATTGGATACAGGGCCGAATCTCTAGAACGACGGGTGTTTGACCTGAGAAGAGACCTCATCGGAACACAAGAGGTTTTTTCCGTATATGGAGCGATGCAGAGGAAGGAGAAAGCGGTTGTCTATCTAAGTACGAGGTAGCGAGCGAGGGGGTTGTTGGGCTGAAGCAGGAGAGCTGAAAGTCACTCTGTGAGGCAGCGAACCAAGAGCTGGGAATGGGAATTCCGGGAGAAGCTGTAGCAGCCAATCGGTGAGTAGTTATTAGGACGCGGACGACGGTTCTCGGAGTCGGACTGTTTCGAAGAATTTCACATGCTTCGAAAGTTCGCATTCGGCAATTCAAGTTGCCAGCCCTTCGCCCACTGCGCCCTGTATCGGTCATATGTGCATTCCATGGCTCGCCGAGGCTCTGTCACCAAGACCTGTATCCAGTATAATTGATTGTCTCTATTACTGGCGCTGCCGACCATCTGGGTTACATGTCCGTGACTTGGTCCACTTGCCTGGGGGCTTTCCACTGGGGGCCCTGGCAATTGTATGGTTAAACTCGGGGATGCCGAGGCATGACCGTGTTACTCGCACAAGTAGCATTCGTAGACTAGTTGTAGATGGGACAAGTCGCGCCGGTGGCGTGGCATATGATGAGGATGATTTTTTCCTGCCCGAGTAGTTGCGACCAAGGGAGAAGAGGCAGATGACATGGCATTCCAATCAGTCATGTCCGAGCAACCCCTTCACAGATAAATGGGCACCGGTCTGACGAGAAAAGAGTATGATGGCCTAGGCACCTAGCGAGCTAGGTACCTACCTAGGTATGGAGCGCTATGAATAGTTTTGGTAAATGCCGTGTCAGACCGCAGCATTATTGCTCAAGTCGGTTCGCCAGGCACGCGCACCAGTTCCTTCCCCCAAGCTGCAGGCGATCCATGCAAATCCAAACACAGGTCAAAGATCCTCCATCAAGTCGTAGTAGTGAATCTGACGCTCCTCCGACCACTTCCACCTCCTGTGAGTTATTAAAGGACCGGCGAGTCATTCCTCTTCATACTCCAGTTTTTTACTTCCTCCACTTCCCCTTTCTTCGAGACGCCGTGATTGATTGACCTTCCTTCTCTTCCTCTTTCCACCTCTCCCTCCTCCTCCTCGTCCTCGTCCTTGCTCTCGTCCTTCGCCCTCGCCATGCCTCTCCTCTCGTCCAGGCCGCTCTACGCCCAGAAGGCCGACGAGTATTACCAACCCCCTCCCAAGGGCCAGCCATATTCCATCACCATCCCCGGCTCGGAGAAGCCCAGTCGCACCCCCGTCTACCGCCATCGTCAATGTCGGGATGGAATCCTCGAGACTCTCGACCCCTCCATTACCACGGCCCATGAAATGTTTGAATATGCCGCCCAGAGATTTCCTCACGCTCCATGTCTAGGCTACCGTCCCTACGACTCGTCCAAACAGGCATACGGACCCTACGAATGGCTGGATTACGAGACAGTGCGCAAGAGGAGGTCGGATTTTGGCGCTGGGCTGGTCGAACTGCACGCGAGAGAAGGAATCCAGGGCACCAACTACGGCGTTGGACTATGGTGCCAGAACAGACCTGAATGGCAACTCACGGATCTGGCCTGCATGTCCCAGTCGCTGTATTCGGTCTCTCTCTACGACACACTCGGTCCCGACGCGTCCGAATACATCATTCAACACGCCGAATTGGCCGCCGTCGTTTGCTCTCTCCCACACGTCCCGACGCTCATCAAGTTGAAGCCGCGCATCCCGAACCTCAAATTCCTTGTCGTCCTTGACCCTCTTGAACCGGGACCCAACGAAAAGCCAGAACTGTCGAAACAGCAGCTCCTCGACGCCATGGCGGCAGATGTTGGACTCAAAATATACTCACTCGATGCGGTGGAAAAGCTAGGAGCATCTCTGGGGAAACCAAACAACCCGCCCAAACCCTCAGATCCCATCACCATCAACTATACCTCTGGGACCACCGGAGCCCCGAAAGGTGTCCTCCTCACCCACGCAATGTGCGTAGCAGCCACTTCCGCCTCCCTCATCTCAATTTCAGTCAAGGAAAATGCCGTCGCAATGAGCTATCTGCCCCTTGCCCACATTTACGGTCGCTTGCTCGAACACACTGCTTTCTGGAGTGGTAGTCGGATCGGCTACTTCCACGGCAACATTCTCGAACTTGTGGACGACATCAAACTCCTCCGTCCTACCAATTTCGCCTCCGTACCTAGATTGCTGAATCGATTTGGTGGAGCGATCAAGGCCAACACGGTCGAGCAGCCTGGCGTCAAGGGTGCATTGAGCCGCTACATTGTCCGTACGAAACTGGCCAACTCGAATCCCGCTCCGAGATCCCCCGGATCCGCTCCGCCAAGCCCGACCTACAACCACGTGATCTACGACCGCATCTGGGGCCGCAAGGTCTCTTCCGCCCTGGGTCTTGATCGTGCAGCCACCGTCGTCTCGGGCTCAGCACCGTTGGACCCCTCACTGCAACAGTTCCTACGTGTCGCTCTGTCGTCCAGGGTGTATCAGGGATATGGATTGACAGAGACGTACGCCATTGCACTAACTCAGCCAGCCGATGATTTTTCCGTCGGCAACTGTGGCGGTGTTGTCCCCTGTGTAGAAGCATGTCTGATCTCGGTGCCCGACATGGAGTACAGTGTTGAAGATAAGCCGTATCCACGTGGTGAACTCTTGCTGCGAGGCGCGTGCGTGTTCCAAGGGTACTACAAGAACCCAGAAGAAACAGCCAAGGCGTTCACGGAGGATGGCTGGTTCAAGACGGGCGATATTGCCAGTGTGGACGAGCTAGGCCGGTTCCGAATCATCGACCGCCGCAAGAACGTCCTGAAACTGGCGCAGGGAGAGTACATTTCGCCGGAGCGCATCGAAGGCGTGTACCTGTCTTCCTGCACGTACTTGGCGCAAGCTTTTGTGCACGGCGACTCGTCCCAAACCTCGCTGGTTGCCATTTTTGGCATTCAACCGGACGTGTTTGCGCCCTTTGCGTCCAAGATTTTGGCACGCGACATCTCGCCCACCGACGTCCCCGCGCTGCTGCGCGCATGCGACGACCCCAAAGTCAAAGAGGCGGTCCTCAAGGATCTAGACAAGTGCGGCCGCCGCAAGAAATTCGCGGGGTACGAACGCGTCAGGAGTTTCAAACTCATGCTCGAGCCCTTCACCATTGACAACGAGCTGCTCACCCCGACCCTGAAATTGAAGAGGCCTGTTGCCGTCAAACGGTTTCGGGCGTTGTTGGATGACTTGTACAAGGAGGACGCGGAGATGCGGACGTCAAAGGCAAAGTTGTAGAAATTAAAAATTGTTACCAGTGGTCATCCGCACACAGGAGAGATGAGAACGCCCCTACTCCCCTATGTACCCCTACTGTATGTACAAAGTAGGTGTTGAGAGTTTCGGAGCCTGTCACTACTTATAGCGAGTTAGACTGGAGAGAATCACTTACCTTGTGTGTGTCTTGCCGTCCATGTACCTAGGTACCGTATCCGTGTCATTCGAGATTCGATTACCCCTGAAATATCTACCTAGGCACCTACTATGTATGTACTATGTCGTATGTGAGTGGGTGGGTGAGCGATACCTACCTAGGTTATTTACCCAGCCCCCGTCAAGGCTGATAAGAGTATCATGTATATGTACATGTACGAAACCACAGTGATCTCGCGCGCGACAGGCTCGTCTCGTCCGTCGTCTCGTCTTCTTTTCATCATGAGTCATATTTCCACATTTCGCACATACATACATACCTACCTAGGTACATATGTAGGTACTATGCATGATATATATCATATATCATATATCATATATCAGATCTACATCTATCCATCCATCCATTCCGTCCGTCTGTCTCTCTCTCTCTCTCTCTCTCTATATATATATATTCCTCATCCTGCGGCCTAGATTTCCCTCACTCGGTGTGTGAATTCATGCGTGCTTCCGCGGGTATATCCAATAACAAACTCGCATTGCATGTTCACGGGCGGTGTGTTGCTCCGGGAAGTATAACATCCTCCCTGTCTCTTCTGGGGTGTGTTATAACTCTGCCGCATCTTCCTGGGACCACTCATCTTCGTCTTCGTCTTCGACGTCGTCAACAACATCGAACTCCCCTCCATAATTCCTCACCTCGGCACCGTCACCGTCCCCAATGCCCATATTTTTGGTGGTCCCTTCCTCCGGCCCGCGCCACTGGCCGTGTTCATCCCACAGACCGACGCGCGAGTACAGCCCCGTCTGGGATCCGCTCATCCAGGCGAACCTGAAGAACTCGGGTTCCAGCGCGTCGTCCGTGTCGCCTCTTTCGTGCCTTCTTTTCAGCGTGACACCTTCTTGGTCCCAGTAGAGTTCCTCGTCCGTATACCCGCGCCAGCGTTCAACGTCGTTGATCAGGATGCTCACGCCGTCCACGCCGCTGTCGCGGGGCAACGGCCCCCAGTTGAAGGTGATGTTGGAGATGTCTGGTGCGACGACGGCGGTCACGTTGGGCGATTTCGCGCCCCACCATGACCCCGGCGAGCCGCTCCCGCCGCCCGAGTTCGCTTCGCCCAAAGCCGCGGGGGTTTGGATGATGGATGCGAACCCCCAGCGGGCGATCCCGTTCACGAACAGGCCCAGTAGCAACCCCTGGTAGGCGAGGCAGGCCCGCGTCTGCGTGAATGTTCCAGGCATGAACAGCATCGCCAAAATGTAATGGTGGATCCTCAGTCGGAGGTTGGGCAGCACGAGGAGGATGATCAACGTCAGAGCCATGGCGCCATAGATGGCGAGGTATTTCGGCATGTTGCCCGAAACGCGGATGTAGTGGATTTGCGAAATGACAATGACCAGGATGATGGTGACGATGAGCGCAAGCGCGAACGGCGCGCCTGGTTGCGCCAGGTCCCGGGGTGTCAGTCGTTCTATGGGGATGAGCGGAGCAAATGTATAGTTGTTCAACGCGCCGATAAAACAGAATCCCAAGTACAGCACCGTCTTCTCCACTTGGGCAGTGAGGCCGCGGAGCAGTGGCAGAGCAGCGACGCGATAGAGGATAACTGCGATAAATGACGCCGGAAGGAGACGTTCCACTAGTTTGCTGATGGCTTCATAGAAATTGGCCGTGTTGGGTGGATCCGAGACGAGGCCGACGTGGAAAAACATGATGATAAAGGTGCTGAAGAAGAAGACAGCGGGCGAGGTGGTGAAGATGGAGAGAACAACCAGTGCTACAGCCGTGACCGCAAAAAGAGGCCATCGCGAATCCGTGGGACATGTGGCCTGGGTGGGCGACAGCCGTTGGAAGGTGAAGGATCGTGGAAACGTCCCCGGGAAGCTCGTACTTTCAATCCCATTAGCCATGGTGGATGGGAAGTTTGTGTGAGACCCGATGAGCGTGGCCACTCCGCAACCGCCGGTAGCTTCCGTCACGATCCCAGCATGAATGGCTGCTTGACAGATGAAGCTGTCTGCTCGATAGACAGGCATCGAGTCAGGTTCGCCCGGTTTGGGCCCGCCGACGACCAACCCCTGATACCGCAACGACTGGTTCCCGACCATATGTTCTTCCAGTAAATGAACGCCTTTGCAATTCGCGGGACAGCGGAAAGTCAAATGGGCCGAGGAGAAAGGTCGACACATGTTGCCGTTCAACCCGCATCCGTTGCCTTCGTTCCAAAAGCTGGCGCCGCACCACAGGTTGCTGGGCTTGCCGTATCCCTTGATGAATCCCGATGTAGAGTGACTCTTGAGCATGAGCGACCACGTTAAGAACCAGCAAACGTACAGTGCCATGAGGAGGATGACTCTGTGCTTTTTCTTGGGCGCGTATTTATCCAACAGCCTAATCGGAGCTTGCTGGATCTTGGGGTATATTGGCTCTATCTTGAGGACCCGAGGAGGAACTGGCCCCTTGACCCATGTTGCGACTGCCCTGCCTGCTTTGCGGAAAGGCAAGGGCACCCATTTGTACTTGAAGGATGTGGCGGATTCTCGTAGCCACACGGGGATTGGGAGCGCAGTCGTGGTAGGTGAATCCGGAGTAGATTGGACGTGCAACTCTGGACTCTGCGCACCATTTGCGGTCTCTTCATCCGTGAAAGGGAGGGTCTCGGACGCAGGATCGTCTTCGTTGTCACGGTATTCAACCATTTCGCTCGAGAGAAGAAGACAGGTTCTGGAGGGGCAGAGGAGTCACAGGGAAACGATACCGCCGCAGCTATCCAAAAGGCAACATCGAGGTAGAAGGCAGGAGAACTGAACCAGAAAGCAGAAAGCAGATCAGCAGACGCGCAAACAAACCAATGCTAAGAATAAACGAAACGTGTGGATGAAGAGGAGAGCGAATGGAGCGACTGGAGCGACATGGATGCGCGGCTGTTGCTGACACTGGCAGAAAAGACACCGCCAAATCTATGGGGCGAGGGGCAAGGGCCGAGGGCTTCTATATCAAAACTGCTAGAGAATACTTACTCTAGGTAGGTATGTAGGTCTACAATTCTACCTCGAAATCTCGCCAGTACCTCCACTGTCGAATATGGTAGGCCGTCGCCGCTCTTGAGCAGAATTGACAAGCGTGCGCCGTGAGAGCGACACACTGTTGCTCTGCCAGTTGACAAGGCTGGCGGGCCACAGCGTGACCGGAAGCTGCGGCTAGTGGGCTACCAGTGGCATACCGTACCGAACCTTGGGACCAGGGCTACCCGATGCCTTTGCTTCAGAACATGAACATGATGCCTTTGGAATATAGTATATGGGTCTTCTAGTATAGATACTATTATTGGCTCTTGTCTTCTCCCGCCTCGGAGACCGCTGGCACGTCTATGGACCAGACATTGCGACCAAGCAGCATGACAGCGGAGACAACGACCCTATAGTCGCCAAAAATGATAGCCTCTCTTCTTTCTAAAACTATTCTCCTCTTGGATGTTTCCTCGTCGTCCAGGATGTGTCCACCGCTCTAGCGCAGGTGCGTGTCTTGCCGCAAGGTGCTTGCAAAGCCTTGCGCCACGGTACTCACCAAACAGCCAGCTCAGAGCCAGGAAGTAGGTCTGGTGAAATGTCTCTCGATGCCATTCGGTCTCCATGGATCCTCTCCTTCATTGCAAGGATGGCTCCAATTTCGAAACAACCACTTATTTTCCGAACCAACCTGACAGTCGTTCTCAATCGTAGTGCTATCGGCGGCCAAGGTGCTTCTTCCGTTCTTGAAATGAACAGGTCACTCGCGGGAGTAAGTGACTATGCTAGTACTCTCGCTTCTTTCGGCCTGCTTAGCCTCCTTGCTGTCCTTACCTACCTAGGTACGTAGTCTTGTATTGCAAGCAGCTGTTACGGAGATGTGTGTGCGTTGTGAGTGGAGCGCCTAACCGGTCTTCTGCCTCGCGTGGTTGTGACATGGACTCTATTGTCCAGAGCCCATCTCGCTACTCGGTCAAATTCAAAAAGGGCAAGACACGTCGAAAGGGCAATGCAGGGGACGGAAAATACATCCACAGAGAGAATGTCAGAAGAATAGTTAGCAGGGAAGGAAATGGGTGTGGACGGGAAGCTGCGATGATAAAGACAAGACCAACGCGGTAGTCCGCAGATGGGACTCTTCGCACATACGAATCTCATTTGGTGGGCGACATGGAATGGCGCAAGTCCTCCATCCTCCTCATGTAAGAAAGAGCCAGGTTTTGTCGACTATGGCGCAATGTGGGGGAAAGAAGGAGGAGAGAAGTTCGTATTTTTCGGGGACGGGCGAGTTACGAAGGTACCTAGTAGTTTCCGCCATGCGTCTCTCAGCCGCCAAGGTTCACGCGTGGTCGAGACTGAGTAGGTACCTAGGTATCACACCATTCAAAAGCATTACGACCATTAATTACAAAGATGGCTTGCAGCAACAACAGTCGCTTGTGGTTGCAAGCTGCAAGCCACGATTCAAATCCGTCTGCAGCTCCTGCTGATGGGCCACAATGGGCCTAGAACCCCGTCCGACTGCACGCAGGACTCGCATATTGCCTTGGCCATGCCACAAGAACGCGCTTCTCCTACGTAACCTCCCACCTGCGGGCTTCACCACGTCTCGGCAGATGTTGACATTGATGTGGTATTGTGATACAATCCGAATCACATCCGAAATGGGCGGCATGCAGATACAGGTCGTCACACGCGCCTGCAACTCAGGAAGGGTCTTCTCCATCAACCTGCTGCAGAGTGAAAGGTATTGTCAGCATAGCATTAGGCAAAAGACCTTGCATATCACGATCCGACGGAGAGCAGAAAAGCACCCCAAGCTCCCCCACCTGCTGAGACCGTTCAAACTCAATCAGAATGTCATGCTCATGGATCGACAGCCCTAGTGTAATGTTTACGCCAGTGGGAACCTTGATCCGGTCGCTAAACTAACTTGTGTCACCAACCAGACCACATGGCATGAGATCTAATCAGAGCTGTCCGTACTGCACCCTGCCGTACGACGTGGGGGATGCACTCACACAGCCCGCCCGTAACGGACAGTGTTGAAATCCTCATGCATCACACGTTGCACCAGGGGTTTTTTTTGGAGGGAGCTGGGAACAAGCGGACAAGGGTTCTCAATCATTACACGAATGAGACAGACTCGGATCTGGGCCTCGCAATGGCACCCGGACTATATCTCGAAGCAAACAATGAGAAACCCTTCATATTGACCCTACAGACACGTCTGCTCGTGGAAGCCTCCATCGTTTCTGCTCAATCGGTATCCTCTGCGACCTTCCTGCCTCATGTCACTCCCAGGGGAAGATCATGATCCTGTCCCTGACCCTGACCCCGATGCTGAGCCAGTAGGGTTGATCATGGCCTTACCTCTACGTCGCTCGGGTCGATAACTGATACTGGTTATTAGGTTGAACCTATAGGCGACGCAGAGGACGTTGACTCGGCACTTGGAGATGTTAGCCTTTTACCGTCTCGAAAGCAAGACTACAAGCTGATGTACCACGCAGGAAGACGATCTCCTGTCCACCTCCTCTCTGACATCAAGCGTCTTTGATTACATCCAGGAACACGGCAGAACTTATAACGCTTACGGCGAGCGAAGTACGTCACTGGAGCATTCCAAAGCTATAGCTAATTCTCTACAGCGTATGTGTTGCCCAATGATGAGGTATTGACGTTGAACCCATTATTCCTCCCGCAAGTGGGAATCCAGTCTACTGATGTCCATTGCCCCAAAAGATAGAGCTAGATCGACTAGGTAGAGTATCTAGTTCTGGTGCCCTCACTTTCGTTGGCCTACTGACTGTAGATTGGACCAGACCTCCAACATCATCTCCTGAAGATGACCTTTAGCGACAAATTGTCGACCTGTGGCGTGGAGAAGAAAAGAGATTTGCATCATGTGCTAGATGTCGGCACTGGCACCGGCATCTGGTCCGTTGAATTCGGTAAGAGAAAAAATGCATCGCCCGAGTCAGAGGGATACGGTGGCTGACATGCTGTCGAAGGTGATCTTCATCCGGAAGCAATCGTGAGTTGTCGCTGCCAACATGCTTTCCACGCGAATGACAGTTGACAGAGGAAAGGTGCTCGGAGTCGATGTCAGCCCTGTGCAACCCAATTAGTAAGTCTAATGTGACTCTCAGCATCCGTTTGCTTTGCTCATTTAGCAAGCAGCGTTCCCCCCAACGTTAGGTTTGAAGTCATGGATGTCGGACAGCAATGGGTCTTCAGTTACCAGTTCGATTTCATCTTCAGCCGATTCATGACGGGTGCTATTGCAGATTGGCGGCAGTTCATTCGGCAATGCTACAAGTAAGGGAGCCATTCACCCAAAATGACTGAAGCCTCCTCGTCCATGCTGATGTTTTGCACAGCAACCTTGCTCCAGGCGCGATGCTCGAGGTGCAAGATATATCGTTCCACCTCGCGTGTCGGGACGGAACCCTTCCGCCGGATTCTGCACTGGCTCGATGGGCAGCCTATATGCTTGAGGCAAGTAAGCAGTTGGGTTGTCCCCTTGATAGTGTCGAGTCAGTGAGGGGAATTATGGTTGAGACGGGGTTCGTCGACGTTGTGGAAACACCCTACATTTGGCCAATGAGCCCGTGGAAGAAAGATGCCAAATTGAAGAAGATCGGTAAGCTTGCTCCCATCTGGACCGGAAGACGCTCATCAACGCAAAATGCAAAGGAATGTGGACATATCACAATTTCACCACGTCTCTGTCGGGCATCAGCCTGGCCCTTTTCACACGAGGTTTAGCCTGGACGGCAGATGAGCTGGAGGCCTTTCTGATCGACGTCCGAAAAGACATGAGGAACACAAGATATCATGCGTTCTGGCCCATGTGAGCAACCCGTCCAACCTGTCCATGTGCATGTGCATGTGCATGTTTCGGATCGGTGAGATGGGCGTGACTGACGGGTGAAACCTCAGATACAGCATCAGTGGGACAAAGCCCGAATAGCCGGTGAGGAGGCACGGAGGCCAAGATGGTTGTACACCTGCCGAGATGGTTGGAGTCTAGCAAGTATGTTGTCAGTCTGAGTCTGTAAGCGAGTTGCGGGACGAACTGCTTAGCTACTTATGAGTAGGATTGACCTTGGACGTTGGAGTACGAGGTAGTCTCGTAGAGTCACGGTCGGCAGTGAACCACAGTGACAGCGATGCAAGTTGAAGGAAGCAACGGGGTCCAGAACGAGTCAAATCGAGATTCACAAAGGTTTCCCCCCTGTCCCTCTGTCCGCTCCCCCCGACCACCCCCGGTTGGCGCCCGTGTAGCTTCCCTCCCGAGGCCTTCACCGTGAAAGAATTGTGGAAACGTGCTGAAGATTTGCAACCCCCAGGAACCAATCCAACTGCGCCCTCAGCGTCACCCGCGTCACTCAACCTGCTGCCGCCGACCACGCTACTGCAACAGGCCCGTTCGGTACCCGGCGTTTGACAGCTGCTGTGCAACCACCTGCATCTTCCCCCCCAGACGTGGCTGTCAGGTCCTTGTCCTTATCGCCTTTCCTGTCTCTCACACGGTGGGACCCACCACACGAAGAACAGAACCATCCATCGGCACCGTTCCCCATCACAGAGAGCTCCCGCAAATACGTACCTTCCGAGATCTGATCTGAAACTCAACTCCCCCGCGAATGTGAACACAAAGGAGGTTGGACATCACATTTATCTCCTTGTACTCCCCCAGGGCCAAAGGAAACAATGCTCGCTCTCGCCTATCTTGGTGTCGGGCTCGGGGTCTACTTGGTCTACACCCTCGCAAAGACCTTCTACGACTGGTACCGTCTGCGACACATCCCCGGTCCCTTCTCTGCTGGCTTCTCCAAAGGATGGCTCCTCAAACACACCTGGGATGGTTCCATGTACATCGAGTCTGCGGAACAATGCTTCAAATACGGTACAACCATCCCACCAGGGGTACTGCCAACCTCACTTCTGGCTGACACACAGTTTCGCTCCTAGGTTCGCTGGTTCGCATCGGGCCGAACGACCTCATCACATGTGATCCCGAGATCCTCAAGACAATGGGTGCGGCTAGATCTCCGTACCGTAGATCTGACTGGTATGATGCCCTTCGAGTCGATCGTGACAATATCCTCTCGGAGCGGAACGAGGAGAGACATGCGATGCTTCGTGCCAAGATGGCCCCTGGGGTATTTGAGCACAAACTGTTTTCCGGCAGCTGAGTGTGGGATTGCTGACCATGTCGCTAGTATGCTGGCAAGGAGAACCCCACCCTCGAGCAGTCAATCGACGACTGTATCGCAAAGCTGGTCGACCTCATCGAACGCAACTATCTCTCCACTGCCGAAGAATTCAGGCCGATGGATTTCGCGCGCAAGGCCCAATATTTGACGCTGGACATTCTGTCTGCCATTGCATTTGGAGGAGCTTTCGGGTTTCTCGAGAAGGACGAGGATGTGTTCCACTATATCGAGACAACCGAAAACACTATCCCGGCCATGATTCTGTGTGCAGCATTCCCAGGCTTGTCAAAGATCTTCCAGTCGCCCCTTATGAAGTTCTTCATGCCCAAGGATACTGACGCATATGGTCTGGGCAAAATCATGGGAGTGGCAAAGGCGGTGGTCGCTGAAAGATTCCAACCCGGAGCAAAACCACGCATGGACATGCTGGGATCCTTCCTTCGACATGGCCTCTCACGTGAAGACGCCGAAACCGAGACCATGGTCCAAATCCTCGCCGGTAGCGACACCACCGCGTCAGCGATACGTGCGACGATGCTTCATATTCTCACCAACCCCCCCGTTTTGGCAAAGATGTTGGCTGAGCTTTCGTCCGCAAATATCTCCGATCCCATCCAGGACTCTGAAGCCAGGAAGCTGCCGTACCTCCAAGCCGTGATCAGAGAAGGCCTGCGCATTCACCCTCCTGTTACAGGGCTCCAGTCCAAGACCGTGCCGTCTGGGGGAGACACCCTCAACGGATATTATGTCCCTGGAGGTACGAAGATCGGATACTGTGCATTCGGACTGTTCCTGGACGAAGGGTTGTGGGGGGCCGATGCCAAAGTGTTCCGGCCCGAGCGATTCCTGGAAGGCACGCCTGAGGAGATCAGGCGCAAGGAGGCCAATATCGACATGGTGTTTGGCTATGGGAGGTCGTCGTGTCTGGGGAAGAGCATTGCCTTCATCGAGCTCAACAAGGTGTTCGCACAGGTAAGCTGGATGGCATTTGCTTTCGAGTTTTCTTGGTTCCAGATCGAATTCTAACCTCTGCCTCTACCACAGCTGCTTCGGAAGTTCGAGTTCACCATTGTCAACCCGCAACACCCGTGGAAGTCCTTTAGTGCAGGAGTCTTCATTGTGAGCGACATGTGGATGCGCGTCACGAAGAGGGAACCATCAATTTGAGCTTGCATCTCCCACGCTGTCGCACACTCTGAAGGCAGCGGTCCGTCGAATGCACATGGGGATTCAGAACATAATGACACAGGGTTATGCTTAATGACGAAAAAATGGGAGTTGATGGAATCAGCATGCACATACTCACGAGCGGCTTAGAATGCGATTGCGATTGCGCACACTCCTCAGAACTCGTGCATACTAAGTGCTCCCCATGGCAACAACAGCAGGACTCCCAACAGACCTTCTCTTGTGACCTTCCTGCGTGGTTCTCATGTGCTGGCCACGACATCTGGATCGCAAATAAGATGCAACAGGGCGCAGGAAACTCGAGCGCGGAGAGAGCTGACTGCTTACTAATAGGGGCACTAGCCTTATTGCAGCAGGCACTGGCGGAACGAGGCTTCCGGTGCCAGTGGTCAATGCACTTTCCTTATCGCTATCGGAGTCGGCAGTCGGGCAAGCCATGCCATTCACTTGCCAGTGTGAAATAGTCATCGATCAATGCAAATGCACAGTGGACATTCTTGATTACCTATCTAGGGACACTTCTCTGCTGCCTAGACTTTCTTGTGTTTCTTAGACATTCAGGATATTCTCGATTGACTTAATTTGCTTGCAATTGAATCATTTCTTTAACTCGACAGCGAGACACCGCAGCCATGGCGTCCATCACCGACAAGCCTGCGCCCAAGGACCTGTCCCATCTGTATTCCCGCGTGACCAAACAGCGTGTTGCGAGCAAGATGAAGGCTTTCTATAAATATTTTGCTATTCCGGGCATCGGAAACCTTGCTGGAGGCATGTTGGCGCTTTGGTCAAGCGGCTGTGGCTTGCTAATGGTCGCCAGGTCTTCCAAACCCAGGATACTTTCCCTATGACACCTTGGAAGCTTCAACGGCGCTTCCCGAAAGATTCAAGCCCACGCCCAACAAGCCTGTCGATCCCCCAGCCTCCGCAGCTGCAAAAACATCTCTAGCAGAAGCTCCATCGGTCTCGCGAGTACTTGTTCCCCACGATTCAGCTGAGCCAAACCTCCTGCGCAAGATCGACTTGACCACTGCCCTGCAATATGGCACCGCCCAAGGATATCCTCCCCTCTACGGCTTTATCCGAGCCTTTGCACAGACAAATCTTCATCCCAATGTGCCCTACAAGGACGGGCCAGAAGTGATTTTGACCTGTGGCTCGACAGACGGCTTTTCGAAGACGATTGAATGCTTCAGCAACGTCTGGGACGAGGAAAGAGACTGGATCCGAGAACGTGAGGGTATACTATGCGAAGAATTCGCGTATATGAATGCCATTCAAGCTGCCAGGCCTCGTGGGCTGAATGTGGTTCCAGTGGCCATTGACGACGAAGGCATGTTGGCGTATGGAAAAGGCGGACTGGAGGAGGTCCTTGTGAACTGGGACAAGAACAAGGGCAAGAGACCACATTTGATGTATACCGTTACGTGAGTGGCATGTTGACGACCATGAACGAAAGTGTACTAACAAGAGCAGGATGGGCCAGAACCCAACCTCTGCGTTACTATCGCTGAAAAGACGCAAGGAAATTTATGCTCTGTGTCAAAAGTACGACATCATCATCATCGAAGATGAGCCGTACTGGTACTTGCAATATCCCTCCGCAAACGAGATGTCAATGAAGACAAGAGGTAAGCTTGTCTCAGACAACTTCCCGTCGGACAGCTCATACAATTACAACACCGCCTCTGGGGGCAAGTCCAGCGGTTTTCCGTTCTTGGATAGTCTTGTCCCTTCATACCTCTCAGTCGACGTGGATGGAAGAGTGGTTCGACTGGACACGTTCAGCAAGACAGTCGCCCCGGGCTGCCGACTAGGCTGGATCACAGCTCAACCTGAGGTGGTGGAGAGGATTCTGCGTATCACCGAGACAAGCACTCAACAGCCCAGCGGATTCGTGCAGAGCATGATCGCAGAACTCATCATCGGACCCTCTGAAGAGGGCGATCCCGGCAAAGGAGGCAGCAAAGACGGTAGTGGATGGAAGGTGGACGGCTGGGTTCGATGGCTCGAGGGGTTACGCGGTAATTATGAACGACGAATGCAGATTATGGCATCGACTCTCGATGACGGGAAATACTTGATTCAAGATTCGAAGCCGAAATCCAACGCGTTCGCACCCGACGATATGGAATACGAGGTGGTCCACAAGACGCAGATGTACGACTTTGCCTACCCCATGGCTGGCATGTTCCTTTGGTTGCATGCACGATTCGAGAGCCACCCTCTCTTCAGCGAGGTCGACCACGCTCGACTTGCCCAAGCACTTTGGGTTTTCTTTACTACAGAGCCGTACCTCGTCTTGCTTGCTCCGGGAAGCATGTTCTGCCCCACGCCCGAGCTCATGAAAGAGAATGGATGGCAATATTACCGACTCTGCTTTGCCGCGGTGGACGAGGAGGTGGTGCAGCAGCACACCGAGAACATCGTGGCCGCTTTCCGGAATTTCTGGACCATTGACGACGTCAAGGTCATCGACAAGCTTCTGGAAGATGACGAGGCTGTGGAGGAGAGGTTTGCCGCATTGGCGATGAAACACCAGGAGTCATTTGCTGTGAATCCGGTCATGTGTTGAATGTGTCGACGAATATGAGATGAGATAAGGCTATGTTGGAATAAGACTCTGCATGATGTATGACACTTTACTTGGACGGATATCTAGACTGGGAGCTACCTGGGAGCAATGTATCAAGGTCAGCATAGAGAATATGAAGTTGATGAAGGCAGAGACAGGGCGATCTGGCCTGACTACGTTGACTGCGCCGAGCCTGCAGACGGTGATTGTCATTTGCTTGGCGGCTGCAACCAAACGAAGCTCCTCGTATCCCTCCGTCTTGTCCGTCTTGTCCTCTTGTCCGTCTCGATCATCTCCAATTGATTCTCCCTCGTGCTCTTGTCCGTCAGTGTCCGTCCTGCCATCTTGCGTACTGTGTCGTGTGCCCAGCCGCTATCCAAGGAGCTAGAACAACGCCTTGCTCTCTTTCCAGGTTTGCCCCGAAGTCAAGCTCGAGCAGTCACTCAATGGCGACGAGGAGGCCGCCAAATCAGACACTGCGAATATTGTCGACAAGGACAGGGACAGCACTGTGGCCAAGGCTACACCAAAAACCTTTTCTCGTCAGACTGGGTGCTTGGTTTCGAAGTCGGCTCGGGCTGTTGGGAAGTTCCAGCTGAGGTCCGGCTCAGCCACTGACGAGTGCAAGGTCTGGATGATCCCCATCTTTCAGCCTGGCAAGCTATGAGCCTTTCACATTCTCATCCGTTGTTCTGACATGGCTCCTCCGTCCATCTACCGTATCGGGCAGGCCTATGCTGCGGATACCTGCAGTAGCACCCCCCATGGGCTCACGCATTGGTACCCATCAACCTTGAGTTCGAAGGAGGAAGAAGCTGGCACCGCTTTGCGGCACCTGCACATCTTGTACCACAGGTGATAAGATCCCAGCTGCCCGTCCTCTTTGCCTCGCTCTCAAGGTGACTTCTTCCCATCGCCGTGTGTCTATCGTCGCTCGTTCTTCAGGGATTATCTCGAACCCGCCATGTTGCTAACTTCGTTACTTGCCCTCGCTACGCTCCTTGAGCCTTCTTACTCGTGCGATGACCACGACTGGACGTCTCCGGTCCTTGGAGGCTACGTCGACCATGGCTTGATGAGAAGACATGACCTCGCTAAACGGATCCAGCCAGCTGCTCTTCCCACCCCGCCGCAACAGATCAAGGACTTGCATTGGGGCCAGATCAATTTCCTTCACACCACAGATACCCATGGCTGGCTCGCGGGCCATCTGTTGGATGACAATTACAGCGCCGACTATGGCGACTTTGCCGACTTTGTGCAGAAGATGAAGGCCAAAGCGGACGTGCTGGGTGTCGACCTCCTCCTCATCGACTCGGGGGATTTGCACGACGGCACTGGGTTTGGAGATGCGACGACGCCCAATGGAAAGCTCACACTGCCGATTTTCAAGAAGCTACCGTACGATCTGCTGTCGATTGGCAACCACGAGCTCTACACGACCGAGATTGCCAATGACACATATCGCAACTTTGCTCCGTACTGGGGCGGCCGCTACATTACCTCCAACGTCGAGTTCAATCTCACGGGTACACCCACTCCCTTCTCCAACCGCTATGCATATTGGAAGACGAAGATGGGCATCCGCATCATGTCGTTTGCCTTTATTTTCAATTTCACCGGCAACAGTAATGCAACCATCGTGACTCCGGTCGGGGACGCGGTCAAACAATCCTGGTTCCAGGAACAGGTCAAGAGGACCGATATCGACATGTTTCTAGTCGCGGGACACATCACTCTTCGGAACTCGACGGAATGGGGTCTCATCTACGCGGCCATTCGCCAACATCACCCTACCACGCCTATTCAGATCTTTGGGGGCCATCGACACGTACGTGACGCCGTCGTCTTTGACGCGTCGGCCGTGGGCATTGCTTCGGGAAGATACTGCGAGACGGTGGGATGGGTTTCTGTTAACGGACTACCCAGTCGCGTCACCAAAGCAAAGTCCCCGATGGGGAATGCCACCAAAATCACGACACAGAAACCCTCTGACGTTCCTGGAGTCAAACCCAACACAAACTCGACTTTATCCTACTCGAGACAGTATCTCGACTTCAACCGATACAGTTTTGAATTCCACACAGCCACCAACGAGCAGACGTTCAATTCCAGCTTGGGCGTGACCATCAGCAAGAACATCACCACCGCGGTGAACAGTCTCCCGCAACTCACGAACAAACTCGGCTGCTGCCCGAGCAACTACTACCTGGACCGGTTCCCCATTTCTTCCAACCGGAGTCTGTTCAACTATCTGACAACCGTCGTCTTCCCCGCCGTCGTGGTCTCCCCGAACCGCACAACCGTCCCGCGCATCATCCTGACCAACACGGGCGGCTTTCGCTACGATCTGTTAAAGGGGCCCTTCACGATCGACAACGCCTACCAGACGAACCCATACACGAACTACTGGCTGCGCACGACCGCCCCGTGGTCCTCGGCCAAGCACCTGCTGCAGAACATGCAAACAGACAAAGTCTACAAAAAACGCGCCCCACTAGTTCCAGTCAACGAGACGACCTTGGTCAAAACCACGGGATACGTGACCAAGGACGACCTGGGCAGCGACGGAGACAACATCCCCCACATCAACCAGGGCTACTCCGCCGCGCCGCATTACGTGCAGGCAAACGTCAGCGTCGGCGCCAACACGTCGGATTCCACGCTCGTGGACGTCTACGTGACGAGTTTCTTCTCCGCCGCCGCGGCAAAGTACCTCGTCGGTGGCAATACGAGTGATTGGGTCAACGCGGACGGGAACTTTTCGAGCTTTGACACCTTGCCGAGGATGGCGGAGCTGCATTGGAGGAAAGACTGTTGATTGATTGACTGACTGACTGACTATTCCCTTGCCTTGGAGATGGGGGGCGGGTATAGACCAAGTTACAAGTTCGAAGGGGCGTGGGGGAGGATAGAGACAGGAAGGGTGTAGTAGATTAGAGACGGGGAAACTCAAAGGCAAAAAGGCAGAGGGGTCAGTCAGGGAAGAGAAGTGAAAAGAAAAGTGAGATCCGCTGATATTAACGACACGTAAGGTATCTATGGATAGACAGAGAGATATATAATCCGGAAAAAGCATACAACACGCACACACAAAAAGGAGGTCCTTCACTTCGTGCCAGCTAGACTTGTTTTTTTGGTCTCTTTTGTATTGGCGGCCTTGTCCCCGGTGATGAGCCAGAGAGGGGGGTTGAGCCATCTTTTGTTGTTCCAAACGTGTCGAACCGTGCATTTTTATCCCCAATTCCCCCGACAGGCACAACATATCCCACACGCAGTTCACAAAGTTCCATCTTCACTGCACTCTTCTCTACTCAATCCAATAATAGGTCCCCTGCTGGGTAAATAGACATGAAGGACCTGGGGGACTGAGCGAGATGAGCGGGTTGTATGTCGTCTAGTGGCGACGAGCCTGAGAAGGTGGGACGCAAGTACCACCGATCTCAACGGACCAAGTGCAAGAATTGAACTCGGAGTAGATGGTCTGGATCTGCCAGCCGTCTTCAGTGCCAGTGGGGTTCTCGGTGTAGAGGATGTCGATGCCCTTGACAGGTGAGGAAGAGCCGAGGATGGCCTCCCAGCGGAAGGCAATCACATTGCAAGTAACGGCGTCGATACCGAGCACGCTGAAGCCGATGGCAGGTTCGCTGCCCTGACCCAGCTCAAAGGCGAGCTTGGAGGGGAAAGTCGTGGAACCAAGCGGGTATCCGGCCAAGACGTTGATCGAATCGGACGTGTCGGTGAAGTCGGAGGCCAGGAGCGAGTTGGCAGTGGCGTTGGTGTAGGCTGTCAAGAGCGACCCGAATCCGTTGACCACGCTGGAAGCCGCCGCGCTGCTCAGGCATGACACGGTACCGCTGGCTGCGCTGGATGTAGTGGTAGTGGCGGCGACGGTGGGGAGGTACGTGGTTGTCGAGGTTGTTGCGGCTCCCGCCGGCTTATACGGCCCGCTGCTCGTGGTCGTGGCCACGGGCGACCCAGCTGGGCTCGACGCCCCGCGGCTGGGGTCAGCGCTCGAGCTCGGGGAGGTGCTGTCGCTGCTCTTGGACTCGACCGTGTTCGTATGGGCCGGAGGCGGCGGCGGTGGGGGTGGACGCCCGAATCCAAACGGTTGAGGGCTGGCGAGGGTGACGCCGGCGAGGGCCGAGACGGCGATGATGGTGCTGAAGAACTTCATTATGTTTTGCTGTTGTAGTAGTAGTCGGATTGACTATATTTGATGGTTGTTCAAATGAGTGACTGTGGTGAGTAAGAATCAATAAGAAAAGGAGCGGAAGTCTCTATTGAAGAAACGAATGAACTGCGGGAATTGCACTGGATGAAGGACAGGCCAAGACAGATGTTGTCAGAGGACCAGGGCTGGCCTTAATATATGTAGAGATGAAGAGACAGGAATTGATACCACGGAGTGCACCGTCCCCGTGTCAAGCTTCATCCAACGCCACAAGGCCAGCCACTATTGGAAATGTGCACGTGGTGCGACGCAAACGGAGGTGGAAGACGAAGCCCTTGCGCTAGGGCCAGCCATTGCGTCCCCGTGGTGGAAATGAAATGCTCTGACGGCTTCCGTGGAGTTGGGGATTGTCTGTGCCCTTGGAAATTGGAACTGGTTTCATGCATCATGATGACTGCCTGTCGGTGGCCGCTGCTGATACTGTTGCTGCCACTGCGGACTTACCTACGTTGGGCATTTGATTGTGCTGGGATCCTTGTAGGATCACTGATGGTGATCGGGACCCGATTTTGGCTCCATGCGAGAGATATTGTCCCCATGCTACATGCAGGCTGACAGCCTCATCAAGGAAAACGACGCGGACGCGTACGAGGGACCCTCGAGGGTTTGGAGAGCACAGGAGCAAGTGATGTGCAGCGCCGCGGGAACGTTCTCACAGGTGGGAAAGCTGGGAGAGAGAGTGTGTGGATCGAAGAGGACCATACGCAGTAATAAGTCAAGCGCCACGCCCGTGCCTTTTGGGCCTTGACCCTTGCGGTGTGCCCGGTGCGAGGCAATTGAATTGCCAATGACATGTGCTGTGAAGATCCCCCAAAGGAACAAAAATTGAGCATGAAAAAAGGCCTGGTGGTCAGTGGAAGCCTGGATGGTACCTAGACGAGCAGATAGGGTTTGCGTAAGCTTTTGCGGGTCTCGTAGCCCCTTCGCTGAGGACTGCGATTGGGATCGTCCTTGGTCAATTTCCAGCAGCTGAAAGGTGCTCTTTCTGGAACAAGGCCACCTCTTCCCCCCTTTTCTTGCATCGAGGTCGGCCTCTTCCCCATTGGGACATTCTACCCCTGAACGTTCCGGGTAAGTGGGTCCCAGTCCCGGTCGTGGGCTCTGATTGGTTGATATTCACGTCAAGTCTCCTCGACAGGGACGCCGACGTGCGACGAGGCTGACGCCCACTGGGGGGAAATCACATTTTCCCCTCCCAAAGAGAACAAGGCCATATTACCTTGGAACAAAGTTTCGAGTTGTCAGAATATCTCCATCGGAGTAATGATGATGGACAGATTATTATCATTATCATTTCCTCCGAGCGCATGGGAGCAGAAAATCTTCCGTCCATAGATCCAGACTTCAAATTGAACACGACGCGTGAATCCATTTCATGTCGCGTCTGGAGACTGAGAGAGCGCGCGCGCGAGATCGGCGCAGCCAGACTCGTTCCATGTTCTTTGGGCAATGAATATCACCTCACGCAATACGACTTTGAATAAAGTCGGAAGGATACACAGGAAATGAACCATGGGGTTCCCAACGTCGGCCTCCGGAACATTGCCGAGGGTGATGTTGCTCGTTACCGAGTAGTCGTATGTCAGTAGCATTCTTTCAGAAGGCGATGCGGAGGCCCAGTCAGCCAGCCCCGGATCGTTGAAACCAAGTGGCAGTCCTCGTAAGGGCGAATAATATACCCATTACGGGGCAGACGAAAAGGTCTAGAATTGAAATGGCCGCCAGCCCTAGCACTGATAATAATGGCAGCGAAAGGGCCGAGGAAACAAGCGAGAAGTTCTGGACCCAGCTGAATGCGGAACCGGCTTCCCGCCACAGGTACGCGTAGCTCACGATTAGATATGGAATGCCCGGCCGCCAACAAAACTCTCAATCCAATAATGCGAAAGAATGCGGAAACCGTTCAAAGCTTGATCGATAGTAGTGGCCGAGGCTTCCTTTCGGCGGGAAAAAGAGAAGCGCCTTTCCTCTCCCTTTACTCTTCCTCCGCCCTCGTTCCCTCGCGCTGCAGGCAATGAATGAAAAGGCCCCAAAAGGTCATGGACGACTGATTGGTGGTGGCAGCAATCTCACTCCCCTGAAAGTCGTCAAAAGATGCTTTGGGAAAATCCGAATTTTTGGCTGTGAAAGAAAAACCAGTCATGAAAGAAACTACCTAAGAAAAACTAGTCGGGGTATCTGTTGCTTGGTCCCTGCGTCACTGTTCTCCTTTCCCAAAAAATGCCTAGTGCCCTGCACCCAGATGCTTCATGCCCTACGAGTTCCGATGATATCGGTGCCTCTTAACCCGATTCCTTGCAGTAAACTCCGGGCTGGCCGGGGACGTTGCTGACGCTGACGATGTGGTCGTTTCTTCAGCTGCAGCTGGAGACGTGGTCGACACGACTGAAAGATCCGGCGTCGTGCTAGGATCGCTGGTATCCGGTGTCACTGATGGATCTGTGGCCGCCGCCGTGGGAGATGACGTTGTTGATGAGAATGACGGGGTAGGTGCCGGCACCATGTCATCAGCAATTGTCGACGTTGTTGGAGAGAGTACAGAGGAAGTAGTGACAGGATCGGGGATTGAGGTGTCTTCCGTTTCAGGATCAGCAGCTCCTCCAGTATAGTCAGTTGAGTTGCTGGCATAAGGCGTGGTCAGGTTGGCTGGAGGCTGCCCGTACGTGGTGTCGGCTGGAGGTTGCCCATATGTGACGTTGGATGGAGGTTGCCCATATGTGATGTTGGCTGGAGGTTGACCACTCCAAGTCGGAAGGCCAGTACTATTGCTATATCCTCCATAGCTTCCATTGACAGCAGTCCCGTTGCCGCCACCCATACCCATCCTAATATTGTCGACGTCTAGGATTGGCGAACTAGTCTGGACGCCATTGCAGCTGAAGACCAGAGAGAATGTGCTCGCTGACGATGTTATCTGGAACTCCTTCCCAGTCATAGTCCAAGTGCTGGCGGCTGAGAGTGAACTTAGAGTCGCCAGAGTTCCTTCATCGTTCGAGACTGTCAACGTACATCCATCCGGTGTGATCCCAGAAGACGGAACCCGGTAGGCGAAGGAATACCAGTAGGATCCATTTGTGGCTGGAGCCGCGAGTGTCTGTGACAGTGTAGCAGTCACATCTTCGAAGGTGGGCTCAAAACGAGCAAATCCTTTGCCATCATACGCCGTGTCTGGGGACAGGATATCGCGTCTGCGCTTGGTAGGTGTAGACGATTCGGTGACACCGCCCCAGACAATGTCCACTTCATCCAGTGTCCAGCCTGTACCTGAACATTCGAACGACGGGTTCTCCAGCAATTGCGAAGGTGGAGTGGCACTACATTCGGATGAGTTGTTGGTGGGGTACGTTGAATTACTACTCCATGTGGTCGAATTGGTCGAGTTCGACTGAGGGATTGTGTAGTTCAAGGGAGCAGTTCCATTGCTGGCCCAATCCGTCCAATTACCAGTGCCATTGTAAGCCCATGCCGAAGTCGTCGTAGGTACCACGGAGGACGAAGTTGTTGTCACAGGCACTGAAGTCGATGTTGTCGTTACCACTAGGGAGGTGCTGGTTGTAGCAGAGAAGCTGAAAGGCCATGTCTCATTACCTCCTGTGGAATTGTACCAGTCTGTCCAATTGCCGGTTCCGTTATACGCCAATGTGGGGATAGCCCCGGCAGAGGTGGTAGTGGTCGACAAAGGATCGGTCAAGTTAAGTGGCAAGCTAGAATTGGCTGGCAGAGTCCAGTTTCCGGTGCTGTTCGTGCTGTTGAGCCAGTCGAGCCACTGTGTCTCGTTGTAAGCGGGAGCAGTCATTGTCGGCCAGGCCCCAGAGGATGAAGTCGTTGTCGTGGACGACAATGTCGACGTCGATGTGTAGCTTGTAGCTGTCGGTGACACATACAGTATCGAAGTTGTGGTGGTCAAGAGAGATACGGTCGATGATGTCGTCGAACTTCCTCCATCAGTCCCATTCCACGGAATCGTACCGTTCCAATCGGTCCAATTCGTGTCCGGATAGGACCCGTTGTAGGCTGGAATTGTTGGCATGCCTGATACAGATGTTGTGGTGGACGAGGACGTGGTGATTACCGAACTAAGATTCCAGGGGATCGTGCCGTTCCAGTCTGACCAGTCTGACCAGTTGGTAGATGGATAAGAACCGTTGAAGGCAGGGACTGTTGGATAGCTCGCCTGTGAGCTTGTTGTCGACGATGAGAAGGAAGTAGTGCTGGTCATGGCAGCAGCGACAGAGAGAACCGAAAGCGTTGAAGTCGTACTCAAGGACGTAGTGATATTCCACGGAATTGTGCCATTCCAATCAGTCCAGTTCATCGAAGGATACGATCCATTGTACGCCGTGGTCGGGTAAGCAGCCGACGAACTAGTGGCAGAAGTGGATGAAGTTATGGAACTCACATTCCAAGGGATTGTACCGTTCCAATCCGACCAGTCCGTCCAGTTCCCTGAAGGATCCGAGCCGTTATAGGCTGGTATAGTTGGGTATCCCGCGAATGAAGTGGTGGTGGACGAAGTCGTCGAGGACGTAGTAGTCGTGAGCGCAGTAGTCGTCAACGCGGTAGCAGCGACTGGGAGAACGGAGGACGTGCTCAATGTAGGGGTAGATGACACGGAAGTTGTGAGATTCCATGGAATTGTACCGTTCCAGTCTGACCAGTCCGTCCAATTCGTTGGGGGATAAGAGCCGTTATACGCCGGCACGGTCGGATATGCTACCGACGTAGTTGTAGTCGACGTAGTTGCCACAGAGGTTGTGAGATTCCAAGGAAGTGTACCGTTCCAATCTGACCAGTCTGTCCAGTTTGTCGAAGGATACGAACCGTTGTACGCTGGCACGGTCGGATATCCTGCAACCGACGTAGTGGTTGTGGAAGTCGAAGTTGAAGACGAAGTGGGTGTCAGCGCGGTGGCGGCGACAGAAAGCACAGAGGACGTGCTCACGGAAGAAGTAGTCGTTCGCGGATCGATATACGGCGAGGACGAGCTGTAGGTTATATTGGACAGCCAATCTGACCAGTTACCAGTTCCATTATATGCTGGAATTGTTGGATAACCTGCTTCCGAGCTAGATGTTGTGGAGACAGTTCCGGCGCTTGTAGTTGTGGTCCAGTCCAGCCAAATCGAGTTCGAGTCGTTGTAAGTCGACCAATTGCCGGATATGTTGTACGGTGGTATGCTGGGAAAGCCGGACGACGAGGAACTTGTGGAAGAACTGGTTGTGGTTGAAGTCGATCTGGTAGCTGCATCAACCGGGAGTTCTGAGGTTGTTGTGGTCGTGCTGATGGGAGACGTCGTCGTGCCAGGGTATGCAAATGAGGTTGACGTGAGATTCCAATCTAGCCACTCTGACTCTGTCCAATTTCCTGTACCGTTCCAAGACATGGTCGGATAAGCCCCGGCTGAGCTTGTAGTGGTTGCTAACGAAGTTGAGGTAGTTAGACCATCAACGTACAACGTACTTGTTCTGGTGACTGTCAGGTTCCAATCCAGCCACGCGCTCTCGTTGTAACCTGTCCAGTTGCCGCCCGTGGGATACGCGAAACCGGAGCTCGTTGTGGTTGTACTCAAAGAGGAGGTCAAGCTTGTAGTTAGCGCATCAACCGGCAAGGCAGAGGAGGAAGAGCTAGTCGTGGCTGTGGAAACAGCTCCAACTGGCAATCCGGAGTTACTCGATGTTGTAAAGGTTGGCGACGTCAGATTCCAATCCAACCAGATAGAATTCGAGTCGTTATAGCCAGCGTAGCCGAAGGCAGAGCTAGTTGTGGTAGTAGACGCCGCTCCGACGGGTAATGCCGAACTACTCGATGCTCCAGAGGTCGTCGACGTCAAATTCCAATCCAACCAGATAGAATCCGTATCATTGTAGCCTGACCAGTTAAAGACAGAGCTAGTCGTAGTTGGGGATGAAGACGAGGTCGAAGTCGTGGCAGTAGACAATGCTCCAACAGGTAAAGCCGAACTACTCGATGCTCCAGAGGTCGTCGACGTCAAATTCCAATCCAACCAGATAGAATTCGAGTCATTATAGCCTGACCAGTTAAAGACAGAGCTAGTCGTAGTTGCAACTGTGGAGGATACCGAAGACGGAGCTTTTGACGTGATATTCCAATCCTCCCAGGTCCCATTGTCGGATCCATTGTAGGATGGATAGCCTGGATACGCAGCAATGGAGGTTGTTGACGATATAGAACTTGTCGTGGTTAGAGCATCAACCGGGAGTAGTGAAGAGCTGGTGGTTGAAGAAGTGGTGGTTATTGCGTCAACAGGCAACTTGGTGGATGTTGAAGTTGTTGAAGTCAGATTCAACCAGTCGGCCCAGTCTTCCCACGTCCCGTTCCCACTGTACGTTCCGTTGTAAGACGGGCTCGATGGATAGGTAGATGCTGATGTAGTGGTAGAGAGGCTGGACGTAGTAGAAGTTGCGGCCCAATCTTCCCAAGAGCCATTGCCACTGTGCGAGGGCCAAGTGGAGCCATACGGTCTGGTACTCTGAGTCGAAGTGGTCGAAAACGACGAGCTTGTGGTTTCAGCATCAACCAACGCGGCACTGGACGAAGTTGTAGTGATATCAGCAACAGAAAGAGCGCTTGATGTCGACGAATAAGTTTGAGTCCAATCTAACCAGGCACTGCCGTTCTCAGATGGCCAAGCGGAGTAGGTGGCTCTTGAACTTGCTTGAGACGTGGTTGTAGACAGGGACGATGAAGTTGTCTGAGTCCAGTCTTCCCACATACTGCCATTTTCAGACGGCCAGCTAGAGTAGATTGGCTTAGAGGTGGTTGTAGAAAGGAATGAAGTCGTCGCGTCCGCAACAGAAAGAACAGTCGACGTGGATGTGGACGAAGTAGTAGCATCCGCAACGGACAGAACAGTCGATGTAGATATGGACGAACTTGTCCTGATCCAGTCTAACCATGCACTACCATTCTCAGACGGCCAACTAGAGTAAATTGGTGCCGAGCTGGTGGTTGGAAGGAACGAAGTCGTAGC